CCTCTCATCAGACCTCTGCCTGTTCCGTCACAAAGAAAACAGTGCCCTGGTAGTCCTGTACGTGGATGACCTACTTATATCAGCGCCTACGACGAAAATCATTAAAGATATCGCTACCGGGCTGGAGAGCAAGTATGGCATCAAGAAACTAGGCGAGCCGAAGAGGTTCTTGGGTTTTGATATCGTGAGGAACCGCGGGAAGAGGCAGGTCTACTGTCCCAGGTGGCCTATATCGACGCCTTACTCGAGAAGTTCGGCTATAAAGACATGGCCGGCGTGGCTACGCCGTGGCCAGCCAAGCTGGAGCTCCCTTTTACGTGGGAGAAAATGACCGCGGAAGTGAAGGAGTATATTCGGAAGACCGGTGCGTTGAACTGGCTGTCTACCGGCACTCGGCCCGACATTACTTTCACCGTTAACCGCCTTTGCGGGGGCAATTCTGGGCCCTCACCACGTCACTTGGAGTTGATGAAGCACCTTTTCCGGTACCTGGCTGCCACCAGGAAGCTGTGTATTGTGCTGGGAGGCTCCGAGTTCTCGGCAGAAGATATGAAGCTTGTGGGATTCGCAGATGCCTCACACGCGGATGTCTTACCTTGGAGATATTCCACTGGCGGCCACGTCGTCTTCGTGGCTGGTGGGCCAGTATTGTGGAAGAGTAAGAAGCAGACCTTCGTCGCCCTGAGTACGACGGAGGCAGAGTTTGCCAACCTGACGCCTACAGGGTATTCACTGCAGTGGGTGTCAAAGATATTGGAAGACTGTGGTGTGCCACAGCCAAGGCCATACATGCTGTACACCGATAGTAAGAACGCCGAAATCACAGTTCTGAACCCTCAGAATATCGCCAGGACCCGGTGTATCGATATACGGTACAAGTGGGTGGGTGAACAAGTGAAGGAAGGAAGATTTGGTATTCAACACATCTCTGGGTTGGAGATGCCGGCGGATGGATTCACAAAGGCACTACAAAGGGAGAAGCACGCAAAGTTTGTGCAGCTGTTGGGAATGCGAGATTTTCCGGTTTGAGATATGCAGGAGAACGTGTATTTGTATGGGAAAAAGGCCACTAGGGCATTGGGCAAAGGAGTCAAAGGAAGTGGAAGAATCTGGGCGTATATTGGGCTTCGGAGGATATTGGCGATGGCTTCATTTTGGACGGCGGTGTGCTGTCTGTGGGGGGGTGTGGGGCACCAAAGGGCCCAGGTTTTCCCAGACCCACACCGGTTTGCTCTTGGGGCTGGATTTTCTTACTGTTTACTTTTTAACCAACAACCAACTACTGTAATACCAATTTGCTTACCATTTTTTGGCCATTTTAGCCTCATTTTCGCAGCCAGTGACTTTCCTAGGTCGCCAGCCCAACAAGAAGACATTGGCATTAGACATCAACTACACACACTGGATTCGTCTCCCATACCAATCTACATAATCTCGATCTGCGCTAGAGGTAAAAGTAGCAGAACTCCCCGCCAGTGGTGGACATGACGTTGGCAATGGTGGTCGACGGGGCAGCATAGCCCATGTCAAGGACCTCGGTCAGGGGAGTCAAGGGGGAAGGAGGCTCGTTGGCCCAGCTCTGGTGGGCATAAGGACCAGAACCCAGGTCGGTGTAGCGGGTGGTGCTGAAGGGAGAGCCCAGGGCCTGCCACACGGCCCACATGCGATCCATCTGTCCGTGATGCACCCAGAAGGCGGGGTCGCCAGGGGAGGTGAAGAGATCACCGCCAGGATCACCACCGATGTTATAGTGCATGCCTCCGTGGGGGCCGATCTCGGGGGTGTAGGGGACACCTTCGGAGACGTGGCGGAAGGCATCAATGTTGGGCTGAGAGAGGAGGGTGAGGACGGTGGTCCAATTGGCGTAGCGCTGGTTCATAGCCGGGCCAATGTCTCTCTTGAGACCGCGCGGGTTGTAACCAAGACCACCGAGAGGACCAGCAGGCACTCCCTCCAGACCACCGACGGGTCCCAAGTTGATGGTCATGTTGGCGAAGGGGCCAGTCGTGACATAGCCGCCTCCGAGGCCGGCGGGAAGCTGGATGTTGCCGCCGCCGACGCCGGGAGGAGGCACGATGACGGGGCCCTCATGAGGGATGTACTCCCCGTTGCCGCCGAGACTGTAAGGGTCGCCGTTGAAGAGGGGGGAGTCTTGAGGGGCCGACGAGTACTTGGGCCAGTCCCAGTAGGGCTGAGACCCGTTGTAGCCGCACTCCTCACGGAGGGCCTTCTCGTACTGGTAGACGTACCACCGATGCCATGGCTGGAAGTTGCCGCTGAAGTGGATGTTGAGGGTTTGCTGGATATGGGTCACGATAAAGTCATCGAACCGAGACCTTGCTCCCGGCGCGACACTGGCAGGTGTGAGAGGGGGAAGGGTCTGGAGACACTTGACAGCGTTGACGTAGGCGAGACGCTCAGAGGTCGAGAGAGAGCCACTGGTTGTCTGGTCAGTGGTCCGGGGAAAGATCTTGAATGGTAGGAACTGGGGATGATGAAGATCGACTTACTACTCCCGACGAAACCGCAATTTGTCAACTGTGCAAGATGGCGTGAGCCCGCGCTTGCGCATCTTGCGCTCATTGAGGGCGACCTGGTTGATGACTTTCGCCTTGGCTTCCTCAAGCAGCGAAGTGATCTGCGATGGCTCCTCAGACGCGAGGTCCTCGACCGGGGTGTCTCTGGCCTGTGGGACGACATGCCCCTGAACGGAGACAGCTGCCAGGAGGACAGATCCGAGAATGCTGGCGGCCTTCATGTTTGGCTGATGAGTGATGAGGAAAGGATGGGCGTTCGTCAAGGGGGAAATTGGAGCGCTGCCACGTTTTCGCGCTGGGTGAAGAAGGGGGAGGGCGTGATCATAAATACCACCGGTGGAGGGAAGACATGAGGTTGGCCCGATATGGCATGCTCGGGGTCGAACCCAAAGAGTGGTTCAAGTGTTCAATAGAACCAAATGCCGAGTGAAGGCTACTGCATAGCATTCTGTATCCTACATAGTATCGTCGAAGTGGTCCATTATCCCACTGTGCCCCTTCATGATGCCTGACCTCACGATTCCCTGCCCGTGGTCCTGGATTCAGCCACCAGCCAATGGGCACCAGCGAAGTTGCATTTTCGCTGGGATTAGACAGACAAGGCCAGGGTGGAAATTCCCAAATCCCAGGGATCCATTCCACTTTGAACCCTTGTTGATCCCCGACCGTGGGTCTTTTCAACCAAAGAAGAAGGCAGGGAAGGAAAGCAAGGACTTCAAGTTGCCAGCAGGTGGTGAAGAGTCGATGCAGAGTGTAATAAAACAACATGAGGCGAGGCCTGACAGATGCCAGGGCTTCTCTTTCATGGTAGGACCCGAGACTGGTATTCCATTTCAAGACTCCTTCCAGATGCGCATGACGATCCAAACTGGCGGGGAGAAGGACGGAACAGCAGGGGCGGCAGTCGTTGCCCGTGTCTGCACTACCTACTGCAGGCTCTTATTCCCGTCACACACACTAGTGTACCTATGGATTGCCACTCCACCCAAGACCCGGTACTGGGGTCCGGTCCAATCAGGCACACAATTGCAACGACCATGATTCATTCAAAACTCCATCCAGCGGACGACGATGTCACCGGAAAGGGGCGACCGGGTGGGGAGGTGAGAGTCAAGACGGAGAGTCCCTAGCTCAACCGTAATTCGTTGGGCTGAGAAGGGTCTTGGGGGTGTGTTGCAATCTTCTGATACGATGCTTGACCGCGACCAAAACCTGCATTGCTTGCGAGCCAGAGGGACTCGAGCAATCCGGCCTTCATGAGGTTGGGAATTGCAGCTCCCACAGGTGCTGTGGTGATGGGAATAACGAGAGTCAACATTGCCCCTGACACCCCGGTACCTAGATGACCTCCGTCAGTACAAACTGTCGGTGTGCAGAAGGACCTTGCAGATCATATGCCGGCATCCAATTGTACGTTACCTAAGAAACAAACGAGGTTGCAGCCAAACGAGCGTTGAGCCAGGTCTCTGGAGTGGACCCTGGATCGTCAGTCTCGTTTATATCATCCGGTTCAGGAATGAGAGAGGCAGAAGAAAAGAATAAACCTGGTCACCGGGTCCATCTTGGCACTTCAAGCAAAGACGAAGGATTGAAAGTTCTGCAAATTCCTCTATGGTGTATGTAATAGGATCCCTTTGTGATAAGTTTGAATGTCGTGTTTGGCCCGGGTGCTGTTCCGGTGTCCCGACTTTCACATGAGGGATGGATGTCTTGTCAAATCTCTTCTCATTGAAACAACACACAGGTTCTACCTTGACCAAATCAAGCATGTGGTTATGTCTGGATGCCTACTTTAGGCGCATGGCGACAGGCATTGCCTCGGAGATGCTGCTGAAGATGACGACGGGGGAGGAAATGATTGACAACGGGGACGATGCCCAACAGACCATGTCGATAATAAAGTTTCTCGTTTCTTTTGCCTGACGACGTTCATGCTGTCTCAGATCATCTTGCTTGTTCTTATTCCCTGTCAAGCCAGGTTTGTGACATCTTAAATATGTACAAAAACCTTCTTTGAACCTTCTTCCCTTTCCCTTGGGGTCCGGACATTGTCGATCGTTTTTCATATCCATGTCCACTGAGGGGCCTGTGACTTTTACTTCATCATCATGGCAAGCAGCAACGGCGTCTCGCTCCCTCCCGACGAGAATAGGGGTCCCGAGATCCTCGCTATTTGCGGTACGCTGGTGGCTCTCTCTGTGCTCATTGTAGGCTTGAGGATATGGGTCCGGGCTGGCATGATCGGGCAGGTCGGTATCGACGACTGGACCATCATCGCTGCCACGGTATGTGTTTCTCCCCAGCGATGTCGACCTGCGGTCTTACCTAACCCTGACACCAGACGGTCATTTTTGTGGAGATGATGATCATCATCCCGCAGGTTCACTATGGAGCAGGACGACACGTCCAGTACATCGAGCCCCCTTCCAACGTCACGAAGGGCCTTCATCTCAACTTTGTCACCCAGCCGCTATGCCTCATTGCTCTTTGCCTGACCAAGGTAAGCGTGGGCTTCTTCCTGCTCCGCTTAACTCCATCCAAGAGGTTCCGAAGATTCGTGATTGGCATGATCATCTTTACTGTCCTATCTGCAACCGGAAACTTCTGTATGTCACCTTCCACCTTTCTTCCATTCCTACATACATCGACATGTGAAAGTCCCTACTTACAATGTACCTATCAAGTAACTGTCTTCTTCCAATGCCAACCCCTCGCCTTTACCTGGGGGGGTGTCAGCGAAGGGAAATGCATGCCTCCTGATAACCTCAAGTTTGCCGCCTTCTTCAATTCATCTGTTGCCGTTCTGAGCGATATCATTTTCGCCCTTTTACCGGTCCCCATGTTATGGAAGGTGCAGCTCAACTGGAGAGTCAAGAGTGCCGTGGCGGCTATCCTGGCCTTGGGTGTTTTCGCTGCTGTTGCTGCCATTGTCAAGATTACCTTCCTGGGGTCTTACGGAAAACACGGAGACTTCCTATGGGACTCTGCGGACCTTACCATCTGGTATGTACCTACCCCGACGTGGCCATACACGCAGCATATCCTTCTGCTGACCACCTCGTGCACGTCTCCAGGACAACAATCGAGATCTGCACCGCCATCATCGCCGCCAGCTTCCCATGCCTCAAGCCCCTCTTCAAGACCTTGTTCGACGGCTCTTCAGCCCGCATCAGCGGCTACGGCTCCGGCTACAAGGGCTACGTCCGCGACACCAACAACGGTACAAAGAGTGGCAACAGAAACACACTCCGGTCAAAGGGCACAGTCACGGTCACCGCAGGCGGCAACGATACCGAGTTCGAGCTATATGGTGGCAAGAAGTTCTCCACGGATGTCAAGGCTGGCAATGCTTCCAGCACGAGCATGGGTTCTGAAGCAAGCATTCTCAAGGAAACCACCAAAGGGAACGGCATCACCAAGACAACATCGGTGTGTGTGTCTAGTGTCAGGGACGAGGAGACGGGCAGATGAGCGTGGTGTCCCGCCTGGTTGACAACGGAGTATGGGTATCGAAAAGGGTCACCATGCAAAATAGAGATTCAGGACGCTTCTTCCATCACACTCCATGAGAGCTTGTTTCCTTTGTGGTATTTTTTTTTTTACCTCGGCACCTCACCCAACTATCTACCTAGGCACATAAAAGTAGATGTGGCGACATTACTAGATGCAGCCAATCATTATCTCAGCCACTACAGGGTGGCATTCCGTCTCTCCACTGATACCTTGAATTGCAGAGACACTTGTACGTCCACCTGACGCAGATTGTGGGTCACTTTGGCGCGTCACAGCTATGGGGAAGTTGAAGACGGTGAGGAGGGGATCGAGGTGACTGCTTGTAGGATTGATGGGTTGCGGAAGGACGCACATCATGGCTTCAAGTGGCTACCCTGGTATGCAGCATGCAATATTGGGGATTGGAGGTGGCGAAGTTGAGGCAGCCAAATCAGCGGAAGGCAAAGCAGGATCAAAGAGGTAGAACCATTGATCTGTTGCATACATCAATACTTCGGCATCCACGAATAGCATCTATTCAGACAGGCGGGCTATGGGGTAGACCCCTAGTGGAAAGTGACAGCAGAGCCTCTGTCTGAATCAGCTTATGCATGAAGCGAAAACATACTTCACCTCATAGGCCCTTTTGTAAATATATCTGCCCTTTCCAGAGGAGACAGCTACCATATCTACTTGGTCAGCGTGGGGCCCTAGACAAAACGACTAGGCGCACACAATCTCTTTGTTTACTTTTTCTCAGGGGCACTCAGGGGAGATAAGGGGCGCACAGCCCAGTCCACACTCGTCAACAAACGGCTCAGGCAAAACGTTTCAGGGAAACAAGCAAAATCAAATTTCATAACTAAATCTCAAAAACAAAAAAAGAGAGAGCATCTTTTTCAAAAGTCCCCCCACAAACCGGATGAGACCAGATCCAAAGACTCAAAGAAGAAACCACTTCCCCACTCATCCGCACGTTATCCACCACTCCCTTTCCAATCCCCCTCATCCTCCTCAAGATCCCTCGGCTTCAAATCCCCTCCCCCCCCACCACATCCTCGATAACATTGAAAAGCGGAGCACAAAAGAAAAGTCTCATCATCATCCCCTTTTCATCCCGCTCCTCTCCGTTCCTTCAGCTGTTGCAGCCCCCCAGAAGATATCCAAGTGTCCTCTCAATGAAAAGAAGAAACTTAGCGGCAGAACTGCCAGTTGGTGCGGAAGATGACGTGAATGCTGCCGTCGAAAGCGTCCACCTGTGGAAGAAATGGTCGGCGTTAATGGCCCTCGTAATTAGCCCTTCTATTCTTTTTTCTCTAATGCATTCATGATGATGATGATGATGATGGTGGTGGTGGTGGTGATGATGATGATGATGATGATGATGATGATGGCAGATTAATATGTGTGTTAGGTAGGTAGGTGAGGAGGATAAGGTGGGTGGGTATCTAGTAAGTGTTGTGGTGTCTGTGTGTGTGTGTGTGTGTGTGTGTGATTTTTTTTCCCCGGAGCCGCCGAAGGACCTTGTTCTTTTCTTTCTTTCTTTCCCCCTTGGAGATTGGTTATGGTAGAAGAGTGTGTGTGGGTGATGTGTGGAGAGGTAGTAGTAGGCAGGCCAACTCAGGCGCTTGACGTGGGAACGCAACGGCGCCACTTGAGCGCGAGCTTTTGGGGAGCACTAACAGTCATGGTTCCGAAGTAGGGGGTCGCAAGAGGAGTAATGCGGATCTCGGAGTTGACGTTGAGGATGGCGGTGGTCTTGCCGCAGGCGGAGAAGGCCTCGACACCGACGCCGGCGAGCATGTTGTAGTTGTCCTCGTAAGGGGCGACGAGGTTCTTCTGGAAGACAACCTCCTGGCGCGGGTCGCCGGAGAAGGTGTAGCCGGCGCGGACGGTACCGGTCTGGCCCTGGGCGAGGGAAGCATAACCGGTGAAGCGGGTCTCGATGACGGAGAACCTAGGAGGGGAAAGGCAGCAGGCGTTAGTATGTTCCGATGCGTGCTCGAGGAGAAGATGTCTCTTGGGTCAAGTAGTAGACTTGACTCACTGGTATCCTGAGGGGAACTGCAGGTTGATGCTGATGCGGCAGTTCTTGCGGCTGTCAGTGGCGGGGCTGGTGCCAGGGCCGGCAGAGACAATGTATCTGTCAAAGGCAACATCGAAGATGGTGCCAGTGGCGTCAACGTTGACAAAGGCGTGGCCAGCAGGGCAGCCAGTACCGATGGCAGTGACGCCGAGGATCTTGATGTCGCTGGCGTCGGGGACCTGAGGAGTGATCAAGGTCTGGCGCTCAATGACGGCGGCCGAGGCGGCGCCGGCAAGGAAGAGGGCGGAGAAACGCATATTGAAGGGACTGAAAGCGAAAGCTTAAAGATCTTGCAAGGTGTGGAATGAAGAGCGAAGTGGTGACGGTGAGATGAGAAGTGAGGATGAGGATGAGGATGAGGAATTCAGAATCTCAAACTTGGGATGATCAACAGTCTTTTATAGATGATTTTCTCTGCATCACTTTCTCCTTCTGACCATTCCCAAGTCCTGCAGAGCTGGTGATGCTCTAGTCTGAGAACGAGGACCAAAGCAGACAGCGGACCTCGTCTCCGAGCCTTGCCCGTGTCGCCATTCCCATTCTGGCCGTCGACGAGACTGAATTCCACTCCCTCATCGGCCTTCCTCGCGGCCGAGTATCACGTCACAATCAATTCTGCGACCCCAGCTTGCTAGTCTCGTGATGCCGTGATATCGACCAGACTCACCATGGTGGACTTTGTAGCTCAGAATAGTGTCATGGTCAAAATAAGGTTGATTAAAAGGGAAGATCCATGTGAGTCCGGGGCCGTCAAGTCCCACTGCTGGCACAGCAATCTACCCCAGAATAGCTTACAGTCTCGCTTCCCGGTTTCCATGTGCCCAGAGTCGACTGTGTTGTTATTTTTGTCGACTTTTTCATCAAAATTAATATCTGCTCACGTCTTGGTGGATTGGCTAACCAGGTGGCTGGACAGTGTCGGACTGTCAGTGTCTGTCAGGATCCGCTTGCGCCGTCATGCTGGTCGACGAGGTACGAAGCAACCTGATATTGTTACGGTGCTGTTGTGCCTGGTGCCTCGCAGGACGCCCCCGATGTATCATGTCTGCCCGTTCGGCGACCTTACAACGGCCTCGCAAGATGCAACGCTCTTGACCTTGACTATTGGTGTTGGACGACACATGGACGCTCTGGGATCCAGCAAGGCTCGCACTTTGGTAGTCGGTCCGCATACACGGATGTCCCCATCCGACTGGTTCAGGAAGGTCGACCAGAGACACTAGACTGCGGTTTGAAATTGCCTAGGCCGAATCAGACTTGTTCTTGGAGAAGCCCCCGGCATCGTGATGCTGGGCCCGGACGTTGAATCGCCAAGGGTCTTGGCCAGATGCCGTGTGTTGGTTCAAGGGTCATGTAAGGGAACTCGCGATGTCACTGTCACGACATTCTCGTCACCACATTGGCTGGCCCTATCCGGTACCGAGAGAGCCACAATATCGGCCTCGGAAGACCACCCACCATCGGAGAATTGGGAATCTAGATGAAAAGGTTAAACTTTGTATGGAGAAACAGGTCTCCAAGCCGCCTATGCTGCCCCCTTTTTTCGGTTTTGTTTTTCGACCACGTTGAGGCAATCGCAGAGCCGCTCAGACCCGGGAAAACCGCGGGTTGATGCCAGCCCAGTGAAAATAAATCAACTGCATGTGAAGCGGGCGAAGGGTTGGTGGTTCGTGGGTGTCATCGCTACCTGTTCTGCAGGGTTCAGTGTCGATGTTTTCATCTGCGGATAAAGTCGAACATGCTCTTGGCGCCTGATTTTGGTTGTTTCTCCCCGCAAAGTTCGTGCCTTGTACATTCGCCTAGGTGCTATTTCCAACACAGAAGGTGATTCGGGACAGGTCACGGTGCCATTTGCCGTCTAATTCTGTCTGCAGGTCGCACCCAACCTGGGTCTGGCGTTTGCCCATGCGAACGTCAGGTGTTGTTCTTGGTTGAGAGAGCCTCAAGTTTTGTTTCCTCAGATATACCAAGCTCGTTCAAGCAACCTTTGACAAGCCGACATACCCGGAAGTTTGTCTGTAGGACTTCAGCATCCGAGGAGGAGAGTAAGTAGCCCTCTTTTTTGTCTGCTCGCTTTGATAGCCGAGAGGCGGCCGACCTGCCAGAACCGTATACACATACTGATGGGACTACGACGAGGACAGCAGGTACTCCGCAATTTCTGCAAACTCCCTGCCATGTTGCAGCTTCTCTCGCCAGCGCAGTGGTATCGCCTCGGCCCCGTCCCGGGCCCCCAGGAGACCTCCCGCAATGGCGCCGTTGGTATCCGTATCCCGTCCTACTCTCACAACATCGACGAGAATGTCTTCCAACGACCTCGGGTCAAACATGGCGGCCACAGCAAGCTTGAGGGACTCGAGCACATAGCCCGAGGCTCCCCGCGGGAGCTCCTCTCGAAAGTTCCTTGCGCTCCTCGGTCCGTGGAGTGCGAAATCATCCAGCTTCACCCTATGTCGGCCCCCCTCCATCGCCCTCTGCACCTTTCCCACCGCACTCTCAACCCGCCCCCCTCCTCTCCCCTCCCTCTTCTCCTTGTCCCCAACACCCTTCAACACCTCCATGCCGGCCTGCCACGCCTCTTCCGCATTCTTCCCTTCAACCAGAGCCCCCACCAAAGCATTATACACCACACAGCTAACAACACAGCAACTGTCATCATGCGTAACCGCCGAAATCCCCATACTCTCCTCCACCATCCTCCCCTCATCCCGTTGAAACAAGGCAGTAGGTACACACCTCATCAGACTCCCATTCCCTGCCCTCCCCTCCCCCGCCCCCGACTTGCTCGCATCCCCATACGCCTTGAACGCCATGATCCCCTGCGCCGTGGCCCCCCCAACATCCCTCGGCTTCCTCCCCTTCACCCTCCCCGGCCAATCCCTACCCTCAAACCAATCAACAAAATACCACGCCGCCCTTTCCACCACCCCCTCCCCTCCCTGCCCTTTTTTGTCGTTCCTCGCCTCATCATAATAAGCCAGCAGCACCGCCCTCGTAAGGTCAGTATCGTCCGTCGCATCCCCCGCCTTCCACCCAAAGTGCCCCCCGCCGATGATGTCTCTCAGAGGGGAGGGGAACTTTTGTTGGATCTCCTCCCAGGACATGAACTCTAGCGTCGCGCCCAGGCTGTCACCTGCGTGGACGCCCAGCAGCGCTCCCAGCACGCGGGAGGGGTCTCTTTTGTCTTCTTTTTCTGGTGCGGTTGACATGATGTTGAGAGTGGATAAACTCGGAGATAAACTGTTTGCGGTGGTGATCGACAATGACGGAGATAGTGATGATAAGATAGCTAGGTAGGCTCTCGGTGGTGATGATTGCTGCGGAAGGTGCAGTTCCGTTGATTGGAAAAGGGAAGATAAAAAATCAGGGGACCAAACGGTGAAGCGGGGTATATGTCTACCTCTCTTGGCTGGCTTGCGTAGGTGGTTGCCTCGCATCAACGCCTCAGGCATCGCCCCCCCCCACACACCGAGCTCGCGCAAAGTATACCGTTGAAGGCTTTTTAGTTCAAATCCATCATTACGTTGTCATCATTTTCATTAAAAAAAAAAAAAAGAAGAGCTTTTGGCTATGCAATATCGGTTCAGTTGAGCACGCCCTCTCCCCCCTCTTCAACCTCGCTCAACTTGAGTGCCTCGGACACATCATTCACAAAGTGGTCCTCTCCCCCTGCCAGGTCCATAATCCCGCTACGAATCAGTGTCCTGCCCACCTTGGAATCCCGCGATGGCACCCGGCTGAAGAAGATTCTGACGCCCCTCTGGCGGTAGTCTCTGACAATCTCCTCCAAGACCTGCGCACCGCTCCCATCCAGGCCCGTGACGCCGTGAATGTCAAAGATGATATTTCTGTTGGAGTCTTCCCTGCGCAGTCTGGGCAGGGCAGGATGCGCCATGCTAGTCCCGTACAGCTCCAGCCGCCTCAGTCTTGTCTTGAGCTCACCCGTATTGGCAAAAGTTAAAGGTTCTGGGATCTTGACGATCAGGCATCCCTCAATAAACTCCAATCTGTCCGGATTGGCCTCGGCGTTCTCGAACCGGTTGGTGCCCGGAATGCGACCGAGGATCTGGATGCGTGGGCGCGTGGCATGCCGGATGACTTGCAGGAGTGACAAGAAGACGCCAATGGCCATGCCGAACGTCAGGCTAAAGAATATGGTGGTCAGGAGGATGGTGAGCATGAGGCCCAGCTCGTTCCACGCGTGGATCTTGAGAAAGAAGGAGATGTCGTGAGGGCATTCCTCGATCAGTGACCACGCAACGACCGAGATCAGGGATGAAAGTACTGGTTTCTGCAAAACACTCATCAGCATCTGATCACACGAGAATTTCCATCAAAGCACAAACCGGGAGATAGTAGAGATAGGGCAAGCAAAAGGTAATGCAGAGCAGTGTCAGGCCGCTCAGAATGATGGACGACATGGGTGTTCTCCCACCGGTCGACCTGTTCACCTTGCTCCTGCCATAGCCGCCAAACCCAGGCAGGCTCATGAAGCACCCGCCAACGATATTGGCGACGCCCAACGCAACGAGCTCCCGATTGGGACTGAGCTGGATCTCCGCGAACGACGCTCCGCCCAGACTCTTTGCGGCAACAGACGACTCGAAGAAACCCAGCAGAGCAATCAGGAAGGCGGTGCTGGTGGCTTCGCGGATATACACCATGTTGGACCACTTGAACGGCCAGCGGAAAGTGAACGAGTGCCCACTTGCTGCCTCGACCTTGCCCAGGACAGCAACACCGGCCTTGTCCCATTCAAAATAGTACGTCAAAAAGGCCGACAGAACCACCACCAGGAACCGATCTGGAATGTAGGCCACCCCCGGATATCGGGGCTGCAGTCTCCTTTTGATCTCCCGACAGACCATGATGACAACAAAGCTCGTAGCAGCCACAGTGAACGTCAGCGTGTGCGCCTTGTCCAAGTTCCCGAGGATAAACCACAGTTTGTCAACACTGCTCGCGTGTCCAACACGCGCCTCCTCCGCCAGCTTCTGCAACCCCAGCTCGGGAATCAGCTGGTCAACCGCAATCACGGCACCAATGGCACTGATAAAGCCCCGAAGGAACGGCCTCGATAGCACACTATCCAAAAATCCGAGCCTCGCCACGCCGGCAATCAGCACCATCGCCCCCGCCAGCCCGGCCACAATGCCACAAATCCTCGCATGCAAAATCGCATCATTGTCCCCTCCCTCCCCCTTATCCACGCTCCCCTTGATCACCGTCCCCACAAGCAGCGACCCCGCGGCCTCGGGCCCGATAACCATCGCCGGACAGCTCCCCAAAAGCGCGTATATGAACGGGTTGAAAACAAACGAATACAACCCATTGATGGGCGGGACATGGGCCAGATTGTCCGCCAGCGACAGCGCCATGGGGACGTACATGCCCGCCACCGTCAGCGCGGCCACAAAGTCGCCCTTGAAGTAGCTCCAGCTGTACTCCCTGGCCCAGACCAGCACAGGCATGTAATACGACATGTACATGAGCGCATTGTCCCGGATGCCGTGCCGCTCAGCAAGATCCCTACTCGTGCTCATCTTTTTGCTGCGCATCCTCGCCGCCCATGTTTTTGGCCTGCGCTGCCGTGGTGCATTGTTTTGCCCCTCTGCCGGGGCGGAAGCACCACCCGTTGCCGGCTCGGCTTCGCTTTCGGATTGAGCTGCGCTGTCGCCGTCTCTGGCACTGCCACTGCCACCGAGGAACGACCGGGGGCTTGTCGGGCGAGGGGAGAAGGTGCCGTGGTCGCAGGGGCCGTCGTGGACATGTTCGTGTTCCCTGAAGTCGAGGGCCGAGTCGAGGAGGGAGGTCGCTTCGGTGGGGTTTGGGCGGCTCGGGCCGGCCGAGTGTCTCCGGTCAAAGTAGCCGGTACCGGGCTGGTCGGGGGAGGAGGACAAGCCCGAGTCGATGGATCCGTACGATCCGGCTGTGATGCTCTGGCGCAGGCCGCTCGGGTTCGTCGGCGCGTGAGGATTGCCCGCCGCCATGTTCGTCCGTCTAACAGAGCAGAGGGGTGAACAGACAGGGAGGGTTTCGTGAGTGTTATTGGGCCATCAATTATGATGTTGGAAGAGTGGAGGAGCGGTCAGGTCAGGGCTGGCTGGACAGGGAAACTGTCCCCGCGGAGTCTAGGCCAAACGTAATAGCGTCTCAAAAAAATGCAACGGGAGGCTTTGCGAATTGAGAGGCGAGGCAGGCCACAGGGAAGCTTGGGGCGCGCGTGTGAGGTTACTCTACGGAGTATCCCGTATGCGTTTATCCAGTGCTGGGAGCTGGGTGACCCCGCAGTGTCGGTGGGTTTCAGGTCTGCGCAGCCAATCAAGGAAAAAGGGTTGCCAACTGCCAAGGCCCCGTTTGCTCGCAAGCTTGATTACCTTGTTACATAACTCACGATGTATCATCCCATTAATCCGGTACTATCATACAATAAACACACTCAGCCGACTGCCCATCAGCTCGCTCTTGGGAAGCTGCACATCCTTCTTGTCAAAGTCATGTAACAGCAGCCAGCAGATCATCCTAAACACCAGCGCAAACCAGATGGTGTTCCTCCTGATCTCCGTATTCGTCAGTCCGTGCTTCCTCCATGTTTCCGCCCTGCTCGGGGTGGGCGGTAGCCTGCCATTGCTGAACGTCCCTGTGGCCCTCCTCGAGTTTATCCCGAGTGTCGGCGGCCTGGGTGAGGAGTGTGTCGTCGTGTTTCCGGTGCCATCCTCACTCATGGTCCCCATTGTCTGCGCCGTTGTAGTCTGCTGCAGCCCCACCAAACCAAGCCCGTCGTACCCGGGCTCGGAGTAGTGAATATCCTTGGAGGCTTGGGCAGCCTCCTGGTCATAATGCTGGTTTGTGTCGTCAAGGCTGACGGCCCTGATGCGGATATCGTCAAAGTAGTGCTTGATCAAAGCCGCCTCGCGCTTCTCGTGTGGTGTCTTGAGTAGATCGTCAAAGGACACATCGCCTGTTGCGCCTTCGTCGGTTGGCATCGGTGGGAACTGGGGGGGTTGCGCCGGTGTGCCCGGTGCTGATGCTGACATTGGGAGGTGAGTTGGTCTCCCGGTAGGCGGCGGGGCGGCAGCTGTTGGGCTGTATTCCGCCCAGTCGATGTCTCGTTGAGAGGTGTTGATTGCCAGCAGAACCTCCTGGACATGACGGCGGAGGACGTCGAGCACGACATCTTTGGACGTCTTGTTCAGGATGCTGTCACCGACCTCGTCAATGGCCTCGTGCAGATCATTGAGGCACTTGGGCGAGTATTCTCCGTCACGTTTGGGAAGCTCTTCTTCCAGGTCGCTGGCCAGTCTGTCAATGTTGGCGAGTTCGGTTGGGGGTGTGTATTTTGGCCCCTGGTCTGTGTTGATCTCAAAGTTCAGCCTCTTGCGGAACTCGCTCAGCAGGCGCCGGGGCGAAAAGGCCTGCTTGTTCAGAGCGAATGCCACGGGGTTGGGCAGATAAGTGAATGGCCGATCCTTGATGTGAAATGGCCTTGCCAGCATGGCCAAGACTTCAAAGACAGCAGGAAACAAATGCACATGCTTCTTTGTTTCGTCCGAGTAGCACTGCGTCGTGTACTCGTTGCACCGGATCAGGTTGAGCGTCTCGGCAATCTCGGTACGGCTCCCCAGCTGCAGCGTCTTGAGATCTTTCTGCTCGTTGATGGGCGCTTTCCAATTCCTGTCGTCCTTCTTGTCCCGATAAAAGGTCGGGACGTTCCCAAAACTGAGCTCTTTGACCTCAGACGTCGGTATCACCCTGTTCTTCTCGAACCTCGGCCAGCCGGGCTTCTCGAACGTGAACACCAGACCAAAGTCATGGACCCTGTTCCCGAGCACACTATACCCGTTCCCCTCGGCGCGGTACTTGTTGTTGTCACGGTCAAACTCCTTCCAGTATATCCCAAGCACAGCGCAGAGCTCGATGATATGACAAATCGCCGTCGTCGCGTAAGGCCTCTTCACAGCAGGATGCTTGTCAAAACTCCTCCTCATCGGCTGAATAGCCACCGCCAGCGACACCGGCCCCTCATACGGAAGAGTGACAGGGCTTCGCGTGCCGCTCTCCGTCGCAAACTTCCTCCACTCGTTCGCCTCCCACTGCTTCGAGTCCCGCTCCATCATCTGCGCCGCCTCGATGGCCAAGATCCACGTCGCCAGCTCGTTCTTGTGCGTGTGGACCCGCTCCCTCAGATCGTTGGTCGGCAGCTCAACTCTGGTCTTTTCACAGCTCTCGCGCGTGCCGTCCACGTACCAAATCTCCTTCTCGTCGATGGGACCCCTCGTGTTGTCGCTGGCGGCCATGAAGATGATGGGCGCCTCGTACTGCACCTCGCCCCGGAACCACCTGAAGCTGATCTTGGCGTGTTCTGCCCATTTTCCCAGGACCTCTCTGTCGCGAATCGAGAGACCGTTGATCCTCCCAATGACGGCTTGGACATACTGCAATACTACGCCAAGCAAGGCGAAAAGTGAGATGACCAGGGCGGCAATGGCCACCTTTTCCTCCACGGTGAGATCGTTGTCGCTCATCTCTGGCGCTTCATGGATGGGTGAGTGAAGCAGACCATTTTGACGAGGCTGGGAGCAGGAGGTGATGAGGGGCGAGTGCGCGTAACCCGGCGGCTGAGCACTCTTGTCCCAACTTCCATGCAGCCACTCGCCTCTCTCACTCGATTGGGATTCGCGTCAAAATTTGGGCAAATGCTTGGTTGTACCTTGAATATTCTGACGGGTCTGCGCCGCTGCACTGCATCGTCGATGGTAAACAATCACGAAAAAGCCAGCAGATGTCTCTAATATTACGGGGTGTTATATCTATGGGTATACCGTACTAAACAGAACAGAACAGAAACCCAAACCCAGCTCACCAAACGCCGAGCTTTCCCTTATTCCATGTCCGTCACAACATCGCTCGTCGTGACCGCCATTAGTAAAACAATGCAAAAGTCCAAAAGGAACATACTACATACAAGGCAACACGAGAACGCATCAACCAAACGCCTTGCTCATCTCCTCGCCCTCGACAGGCGTCACCGAAAGCTCAATGAGCTCTCGAGCCAGCTCAGCCGTCGCCGGGTCGATGCCGGCCTCCAAAACCAGCTCCTCTTCAGCAAAGCAAAGCCTGGCGAGCATAAGTAGGTATCGCTGGGACCCTCCGTGGGAGGCTGACAGCTTAGCTCCCATTTGAACCACATCTGCTGTGCGTGGGTGTGTGACCAGCGTGTGGAGCAACAGGATTGCCCGTGCGATGAATCGGGGCAACAAGGATGCAAGCTTCTCTTCCTCACCGTCTTGACCGTCGGGATCATCCGCTTCGGCCTCGTTCGTAAAGCTGTGTATGCCACCTCTCGCCGCCGGATTCTGAACTATTGCTGGCAACCCGCCATCCAAGTCATACAGTCGGTCAATAGCCCAGCACAACACTGTGACAAGACGCGGGATGACAACTTCGCTCCTGGCCGCCTGCACCATGCCATACGGACTAGAGGTAAAAATCACCAGCGTCCGCAAAGTCGCGGTCCTCACCTCTAATTCCTTGACGGAACCTTTGGGCGCCCACCTCGGCGACTCATTTAGAAACAACGACACAGCCTTGATCGTCTCCTTGGACACCTGGTCCAAATCCTTTGCTTTGGAGCGGGCGGTGGATGTCGCCGACACTGGGCTTGGGATGGGCCCTATGCTGTCGGGCAAAACCGACGTCCACAGCAACGACAGCATCCCATACCAGTCTCGTTCAGGGTGTTTGACCGACAGCATGCGCAGAACAAACTCGGGCTCGACCGTGCGCCAGAACTGAACGAGGGGTGAGTGCTTCGTTGTCTCTGCGGTCTCCTCGGCCCCAGCCTGGCCACGCGCCGGTGCGGCGCATCCCAGTGCAGCAAGATATAGCAGGGCGAGACACTGGGTAACGTCAATATCAAGACTCAACTGTCGGATTGCAGGGTCGGCGTGGCTGGACAAATCCCCATCAGGGCTGTGGTGCCGCTGGAGGGCAATGAGCTGACAGGTCGTTGTACACACTGGGACCAGAGAAGATGTGATGCGGGGCGCTACCACCACAGCATTCAAATCAAGCGTGTAAAGCACCAACGATGCTAAATAGTAAATCGGTGCGTGGTAGCGCTCAGATAGACAGCGCTGCCACAAGTCAATCACGAGCTCGGCAAAGTCGGCCAGCAACAGAAGCGGCTCTTTGGGGCTGCCCAACCGAGACAGCTTCTGGAAGATAACGGTGGAGAACGTCTGACTGGGATCTGATGGGAATGTAAACCTGGAGAAGAGATCGAACGTCGGGGGCTGGTCACGGAGTGCACTGTGATCCAGGACCAGCCTTAAGAACTAGAAAGGAATCATGTGTCAGTAGATATTGCAGCAGATGGAAGGCGACCTGGATCAACTTACGTCATACGGAAGAGCGTTGGCAGTCGATATAATGATCGTGGGGGTTATTACTTCACGAGTCGCCCCACGATCTGGTCCAAGTGCGTTCTCATCCACCTCGAGGCCATGTTTCGGGCTAGCAAAGACGTGCCCGCGCTTCCTCTTCCCACCCTTGGAAGGCGTACGCTCGCCAGCAGGTGGGATGGTGGGAATTGCATCCCTCCTCCGAGAGCCTTTGGTAGGGCTTGATACGACTTCCACATCGTTGAATCCGTCGGCCTGCCCCCAAAACTTGTGGTTCTTTTTCGGTGTGGATGCGCCGTCCTTCTTTTTGCTCTTTCCTCGTCCTAAGCCCTCTCTAAGATCCTGCTGGGCAAACTGAAGCTCAGTGGTAACATTGCGAGTTGTTGCCCGGAAGTCGTTCAGTTCCCGCTCATGTTTTGCCAATGTCTCCTCGTGTAATTTCCTCAAACGTGCAACCTCGGAATCACGGTCGTTCTGTATCTTGTCGTACTTTGATCGGATGATGAGGGCCTCCCCTCTGGCGGTTGCAAGCTCCGACTGGGCGGCAGCGAGCTGGGACTGGAGCTGGGCAATAATGTCACCTTGCGGCCCTGGCCGAGCCGACTGGCCTGCGTGGGACGGCTGTACCGAGTAGGGGCTTGGGACGGGAGGAACAGGCGGTCGGGCAAATTGGGATTGAGTCGGCGCATGTTGTGGGCGCGGTGGCGGGAGCGGACGGGCAGGCGGGACAGGTCGCAGAGAGGGCGGTGCGTGGTAAGGGATTGGGCGAGAGGATGGCACTTGAGGATATTTGGGAGGCGGGGGATAGACTGGCCGGGCTGTAGGAAGTGGTATATGCTGATTCCACCGTTGGGTGTTGGCGAGATTGGCATTCAGTCGGGCCTGCTGGACGGGAAGCGACTTGGTGGCCCACGAATTGGTCTGCTTGGGTCCGCCAGGCTGGGATTGCTGGGCAATCTCCTCAAAGACAACGGTGTCGTCGAGGTCGTCATCTTCGTCGAGACCGTAACTGTCCTGCTGAACATGCTGCTGCTGCAACTGCGGCTGTGGTTGCGGTTGGTGGTGCTGGTGCTGGTGTGTAAGAGGTGGTGGACGTTGTGAGACCTGGGCCTGGGCCTGGACCTGTGTCAGTTGGATGGCATTCTCCTCGAGCTTCTGGAGGTCGCTTTCGTCGATCTGGTCCAGGAAGTCTTCGTCGGAAAAGTCATCATCCATGGCCGTCGGTTGTTCGGTTCAAGGTTGCGATTGTGCATACCCGTGCCATGCCTCTCAGCCCCGCGCTTAGGTCGAGTCGGATGTTTCTACGGTTGAGGTCGACGTCACTTGCGCCAGACGCGCTTATTAGAGTTGGACTTGACCTCTGTCAGTCGAGGAACGCGTTGGAGTGATTACCTAATCACCTAACCGTTGGGAGACCCCCCACTGTGCCGGCCAAGACGGACTTGACGTAGCACCCCAGTTCCCGGGCAGACCTCGAAATTTCCACTCAAGCAGGACAAACACCAAACCAACAAACCCACTTCAGTCCACCGACGCTGCTCCCGTATGTTGTCGCAAAGCGCCCCTTGTCTTACTGCCTGTGCTAACATCGTCGTCGCGCTCCCCCGCAAAGAGCTCCTCGCTTCCCTCCCATCTGAGCTGAGGCCACTGTCCTCCTTTGCGCCGTCCTGCCAAATACCGATTCGTCCGATTCCGAACCCCTCGGGGACCTGACGTTGCCTGTCGTTCGGGGCCAAACGCATAGACACCCCATACCTCACCCATCATGGCCGGAAGGCAGGGCGCGGGAGCCATCGAGTCCCAAGCAGAAAAAAAGACCGAGATGGTGGCCGAACCGGACTCGACATTGTTAACCAAGCCAAACCCCGAAGCGACGAACACTTCCGCCGCTCCGCCGGCGACAGTCTCCGAGTATGAGAAGAAAAAGGCCAACTTCATGGTCAGGACATTTTGGACCTTGGTGATGATTGCCGGTTTCTTTGCTGCTCTGCTCGCCGGTCACATCTACGTCGTCTTGATCATCACCACCATCCAAATCATCTCCTTCAAGGAGGTCATCGCCATCGCCAATATAGGCTCTCGGGCCCGCGACTTGCGCTTCACAAAGTCTTTGAACTGGTACTGGCTCGCGACCACCATGTACTTCCTGTATGGCGAGAGTGTTGTCTACTACTTCAGACACATCATTCTTGTCGACAAGGTCCTGCAGCCTCTGTCTACCCACCACCGCTTCATCAGTTTTTGCATTTACATCTTTGGTAGGTTTAGCAAACTCAGCCGTAACAACAAGGCTGACATGACTCTCAGGTTTTGTCATCTTCGTCACCTCCTTGAAGCCAGGGAATTTGAGGTTTCAGTTCTCGCAGTTCGCCTGGACGCACATGGCGCTGTTCCTCATCAACATCCAGGCCCACTTCATCCTCAACAACATCTTTGAGGGTCTGATTTGGTTCTTCTTACCCGCCGCCCTTGTCATCACCAATGATATCTTTGCCTACATTTGCGGCATCACCTTTGGCCGCACTCAGCTCATCAAACTCTCGCCCAAGAAGACGGTCGAAGGTTTCATTGGCGCGTGGTTTTCGACCATGGTCGTCGGCCTCGGTCTCACCTGGTGCCTGCTCCGCTCCAACTATTTCATTTGCCCTGCAACAAACCTTGCCACGAGCATTCTGCAGGACATTCACTGCGACCCCAACCCCGTCTTCATCCCTCGCACCTATACGACCCCCGAGTTCTTTTTCCTGCCTCCCGGCCATACCGTGAGTATCACGGTGGCGCCCATGTACTTTCACACCTTGGTCTGGGCCACGTTTGCATCGTTGATTGCCCCATTCGGCGGTTTCTTCGCCTCGGGTCTCAAGAGAACCTTCAAGCTCAAGGACTTTGGCGACTCGATCCCCGGTCACGGCGGCATGACGGACCGCATGGACTGCCAGTTCATTATGGGCATGTTTGCCTTCCTCTACTACCAGACCTTTATCGCCGTCCGGGACTACAACCCCGGTGCCGTGCTGGACATGCTGGTCACCGGGTTGGGCGTCGAGGACCAGGCGCACGTTGTGAAGGGCATGTTGCAGATTTGGGCCAGAGATGGTGTCATTTCCCCAACGGTGAGTATCCCTCGGGAAATTCTGTTTGCAAGAGCTTCGTCTAACATCATGTCAACCAGGCTGCGGAGCAAATTTTGAACATCTTGGGTGACAACCTCGCCTCGGTGTCTCATCACCTGACAGAGTAATGCTGTTCCTCCATTGTACTATACGTGCCCCCGATGGGCGCCTGGCGTGGTTTATCGTTTTATTTGAGGATGCATTTTTTTTGTCATGGAGCTCGAGCGTCCGTTGCGAATGTGATATGATATTCAGGGACGGACAAAGCAGTCCGGTACATGGCAATGGCTGTGGCTACGTTCTGGAAAGGCATCAGCGACAAGTTGCGGACACTTTTTTCAACATTTGTATGGGCAACTAGGTGTGTGGATGTGACAAAGTTCATACAAACGAGGTGGAGGAGGAGCCCTTTTCCCGGTTATAATAGCGACTGTAATCTACACGGAGCGAATTGCATGGGAGGAGTACATGGAAGCATGGCTTTATTTTTAGGATGGTCAATTCAACATTTCAGAAACTTTTGATACCATCAGTCAGTGTCTTCGTTGTGAATCTTGTATGTATCAAGCTCGGTCGATGACTAAGCAGCCCGAGCAGCAGTGTCTTTCTTCACATACCCTCCTTGTCAACATCAACCTTTTGGAGTGAGTGGAACGTTGACACCTAAAATGCAATGGACAACCCACCAGCAGCCAACACCCTTGGCACCCTCGGAGCGGTAAAACCTCCTTCTTTCCTCTTTCTCTCTCTCTCTCTCTCTTTTCATCGCATGCTAACACCATCCCAAGATCTGCTGGTCGATCCAGCTCCTCCCCCAAATAATCATCAACCACCGCCGCCGCCACGCCACCGGGCTGCAACCCGCCATGATGATGCTCTGGGCCTGGGCCGGCGTCCCCCTGGGAGTCTACAACATCGTCTCCTCCTTCAACCTTGCCCTGCAGGTCCAACCTCAGATCCTCGCCTTCCTAAGCCTCGTCACCTGGGGGCAGTGTCTCTACTACCAGCAATGCTGGACAGCGATCGAGACCCTGTCCGTGGCGGTGCCGATCGGGATGGTGATGGCGGGTGTGGAGGTCGGGCTGGTGTTCGCGCTGCGGAACAGAAACGGGCAAGACTGGGCGATGACGCTCATGGCGGCGTTGTCTGCCCTGTTGCTTGCGCTGGGCGTGCTGAGGCATTACGTCGATATATGGAAACATCGGACCGTGAGGGGGATTTCCTTCTTGTTTGTGGGGATTGATGCGCTCGGGGATGTCTTCTCACTGGTGTCGGTCGTTTTCCAGAAAGAGCTGGACGTGTTGGGAATGGTGATTTACGGGACGGAATTGGCTCTCTGGTTGGGAGTTTTTGCTGCTGGCGGGTGGTATGACCTCCTGCCCAAGGTCCGGCAAAGGTGGGGGTCGGGGAGGGAGGGAAAGGGGGGAGAAACGAGGGGGGAGGAGTTGGGACGGGGCCAGGCCGAAAATAACAACACGGCGAGAGCAACCGGGCTGGCTACTTTGCACGATGGGGCGTCATCAACATCCGTTTTTCGGACGGCATCAAGGTCAATAGAGGGGTAGTAGATGGAAAAAACATTGATATCGCTTGCTATATACAGGAGGTACATAAGATACATTACAGATTCATTATTGCTCGTTAACAAACAAGCCCGCCATGCCCATGCCGGTGCCAATGCACATGCTCGTCAGCAGGATCTTCTTGCCGGTCTTTCTGCACTCGCTGAGGCCGGTGACGATTTGTCTCGCACCGGTGGCGCCCAGTGGGTGGCCAAGGGCAATGGCACCGCCACGGGGGTTCATCTTGGCCCAGTCGAGTCCAAGCTTGTCCCGGCAGTAGACAGCCATGCTTGCAAAGGCCTCGTTGATCTCGACGACATCAACATCGTTCAGGGTGATGTTGTGCTGGGCGAGGAGCTTGGGGATGGCCACGGTGGGGCCAATACCCATGATGCGGGGGGCGAGACCGGCGGTGGTGGAGCCGACGTATTTGCCCAGGATGGGCTGACCGAGCTTGATGGCGGTGCTGCGCTTCATCAGCAGGATGGCAGCAGCACCATCGGTAACCTGAGAGGCATTGCCACCAGTGGTGCAGCCACCCCATTGAGGGAAGGCGGCGCGGATCTTGCCGAGACCCTCGGCGGTGGTGCCAGGCCGGATGCCCTCGTCCTGGGTTAGGGTGACCGTTTTGGAATTGCCGTCCTTGTCCTTGATCTGGGTGGTGATGGGGACGATCTCGTCATCGAAAAGACCGGCCTTTTGCGCCCTCTCGGCTCTCTGGAAACTCTCGGCGGCGTACTTGTCCATCATCTCGCGAGTGACACCAAAGTCAGCGCTGACGTTCTCGGAAGTCCAACCCATGGGCTGCATGCAGTCGACAGCCTCCTGGGAGTGCTTGGTGACCTCCTCGTCAAAGGGCTTCTCGAGCGCATCGCCGCCAGCGGTCATGCTCTCGGCTCCCATGGCGATACCGATTTCGATGGATCCGTTGGAGATGGCGTGGGCAATGTCGGCGACGGCCTTGAGGCCGGAGGAGCAGAAGCGGTTGAGCGAGTAGACGGAGCAGGTGTTGGGGTAGCCCGCGGCGAGGGACGCGGCGCGCAGCTTGTACGAAGCCTTGCCATCGGAAACCTGTAGACCAGAATAGTGTCAGCGCTCACTGTTTCCAAAGACACTCTGAGGGGACGGACACGGGTGCGCACATTGCCCAGGCAGATATCTTCGACGAGAGCGGGGTCGAGGTTGCTCCGTTGGTTGACCTCCTTCAGGAGAGCGTAGACCATGTACTCGATGGTGGTGTCCTTGAAGCCACCCTTCTTGGCCTTGGCCAGAGGCGTGCGGACGGCGAGGGTGATGACAATGTCGTCGGCATTCTTGGAGGTGCTGCGTGTTGCGGCGAGTGGTCAGCGGCCAAGTCAAAAGTCAAAGTGGAGGGAAGGGCATGTGAAAGCCCACGGGACAACTCACATTTGGGACAGCCCGTTGCCGGGGGCAAGGTGTTTGAGGATGGAGCCGAGTCTTTCTACCGCCATTGTGAGAGTCTTGAATCCGGTGTGGGTGATCAGGAATTGAGGTCTTCGGGGCAGGAAGGGACAGGAATGTCGTGCATATTATTTATTATATCAACAATCAAGGGCAATGTTGCTGCTGACGGAATTGGTGGCGTTGGGTCACTTTGCCTCGGCATCTTTCGGCGTCTGCGGTTGTTGTCCATCGCAGATGGCCTGGTTCGCGGTTGAAAGCTGGCCCCTGGCGGGGGGGCGGGGAGGGGGGCAGCCGGGGCTCGCGGGGGCAAGGATGGCGTTGGGGTAAAGTGACCCGACCGGCCCATTTGAACCGCTTCCGGGCCACGGCTCAAGAGCTTTTGCGGGGAAACCATTCGCTTCCACAAAGGCACCCACCGCCATCGGCAATTGCTTTGCTTGTTGGGGTCCTCCAAGTCCAGGGACCATCAATTGAAGCCAGCTGAAGGGAAGTCTTTAAGAATACAGAGACTTCTTCTCTCAGCCTTATCTTGCACACTTCATGCCACAGACAGCCCTGTTTCTCAATCTCCACCACTTAAACCTGCACCCGGTGCCTGCCCTGTGCGTTTGAGCTTCAGCGTGTTCGTCTCTGCTGGGCAGTATCTGTGCAGTCGTTCGTGCCTTGCATATCTCTGTGTTCAGGTTCAGATGACAGCCATTGGCAGCTCTGCTCTGACAACTCCCTCTCATCCCATAAATTAGGGCCTTTTGATCAACTGCCATCTCAGTCCTCTCATTAAGAAAGGTGCAATATAGCGGCGCTAGTCCCAACACGGGCTAGCGTCTTATCATGCCAAATCTAGGCGGCCCTGGGTGCCTGGGCAGCGCCAGCCACGAGCTTTTGCCCCATCAAGCTGAAAGGGTCTGTCTGTCATGGAGATAACTGGCGCTTTCAGCTGGCCGTATTGTTGTGGCCATGCAATTTCTATTGCGGCCATGTCGTCGTCCTGAACATCTCTTCATCATGATTCTTCTTGTAACGCTCGTTCATTCTTGATTCCATTCCCTCCCGTCGGCAGCGTTGGCCATACTTACGCTCTCTTTTTCCTTTTTTTTTTGGGTTGCTTCGGAACTACGGAGTAAACGCAAATCTAGATCTCGGACCCCCCTGAGCTGACAACAGTCCCTCTTCGCCTCGGGAACCGACCGACGACGGCCTACAACCGCGTCAACGTCAGTATCCCTTCGGTCTCTGAACAACGAGATCTGATCCGATCAAGTTCTGACTGCCCAGCTTAACCCAACGGTTTCACTACCAGCGCTCCGTTCTGTCCGGCCCGCGTAACATGTTACACCATGTATCACCCGCCGCTGTTTTAACAGTGGCAGCCATGATCCTCCCGTCGATCGTCTCCGCCGACGGCCCGCTAGCGTCTGACAAACGAGGTCTCTGCTTCACGCCCAACGACACGACCCGCGCCGACGACGCAGTCTGGCCCCCGGCTCTGTCGTGGTACTACAACTACAAACCTCTCCCCGAGCCCAAATACAAGGACATTCCCCAGTCCGAGTTCGAGTTTGTGCCCATGCTATGGGGTGCCCCGGAGACGAAGGGAGACACCTCGTTTGTCACGACCATCCAAGACCTGATCAAGAGCGGCGTCAACATCACCAACGTCCTCGGCTTCAACGAACCGGATGCCCCGTACTCGTGGGGAGGGAGTTATTTGGATCCTATCACGGCGGCTCAGGTGTGGGTGGACAACATCAAGCCCTTGAGTGATGTGGGAATCCGAGTGGGTTTGCCCGCCTGCACCGCCGGACAGGACGGCTTGCCCTGGCTCAGGACCTTTGTCCGCGAGTGCTCGAAGCTTGTCAGCACGGAAAACAAAAAGGAGAACTGCACGTTTGACTTTGTGACGATTCATTGGTATGGGAGCTTTGAGGGGTTGGCCAGCCATATGGGCCAATATGCTGCTGAGTATGTTTCTTTCGGTTGTGCAGTTTTGGTGGCAAGGCTGACTTTGTCACAGGTTCCCCAACAAGACCATGTGGATCACCGAGTACAATTTCGCCCATCAGAGTCTCGAGGATACGCAGGCCTTCTACAAGATTTCTGCCGAGTACTTTGATCGTTTGGATTTTGTTGAGCGGTATTCCCTGTTCGGCGCCTTTAGGAGCGACGTCTCGAACGTGGGACCCAATGCTGCCATGTTGAGCAACGATGGTAGACTGACGGATATTGGCGCTTGGTACCTGGGCAAGGAATCCACCGGCGTCAAGCCTACTGATGGTCAATCTGTTAGTGCTGCTGTGCGTCAGACCGTGTCCATAGTGAGTGCCTCGCTTATTGGTGCTGCTGCTGGTGTGTGGGGGTTATTTTGATGTGATGTCGACACGGGGACTTTATCTGGGCTTGTAATTTAATGACTGGATGAGACGATGCGATGCGGTGCTGGCGGGCGGAAATGTTATCGGTTCATCGTTGGAAGTTGCCATGACCTCAACTCTTAGGTCTCCGTGAGCAGAGGGCCTCTACTCAGGCCTCTCCTGTCTTGGGGGGGTTGATGTGTCTTGTGTGCTGACCACAGGTATCCTTTCAGCTTCCGGCGATCAAGTCGACAATCTTTCCACCCGTTCAACCTCGCGTCGTCCCATCACTATCCCGACATAAATTATGTATATAGTAATTCTTTGTTGTAGACAGGATGACGGGATGACCACCCACTTTGTGCTGTGCTGTGAGGCGAGGTTTTGGATCGGAGACATGTGAGACCCAGCAATCTGGGTTATTGTCTCGCTCTTCTGACACGCATACGCATGACCTGCAGACAGCTTAACGATTTCTTCTTCGGTGGTTCTGGACACTATCGAATTACGTGTGAACATCCCAAGGATTTGGAACTGCATTGGTGGGTTCCGGCGCTCCAGTCATCCCCTGTAAATCACCCCCACTAACCCCGAAGCGGCAGGCTAACAGGGCCAACCCGGAGCAGGCGAGGTCTCCGGCGATGTTGCTCGAAGTGCGGGGGTGAGAGAGGTGCCCGATGGTAGGTGGAAAGGAAGGATATTTACCTGGGACCGGCCCCGTTTTCTGCTCTGTCGGCAGATCGACCTTTGGTGTTACCCCTTCTCTCCCATCCTCTCACCGTGCATAAATAATTACACAAAAAATAAAATAAAATAATGGCCGAGTCCGAGTCCATTCCGGCAGCTACTGCGCCGCAGGCATCGGCTTCTTCACCGGCTGGTTCCCCACCTCCGACCACCGCTCCTGCCGCTGCCGCTTCCACTCCGGCATCCCCGAGCGCTGCTGAGCAGCCGGCCGCCGATGCGCAAATTGCAGTCGACTCCAACCCCATCTACCATCCCCAACCACTGGAGGACGATGACGACAATGACTCTTCGCTTGGTGATGAGAATGCTCTTTCTACTGCCTCCATCAGCTCCAGCATCCTGCAGTACCGCAAGCTTCACGGCAGGACCTACCACAACTTTGGTGGTGCCGACAAGGTGGAGTACTGGTGAGTCTGAACCACCCTTCTCTGCTCTGATCACGTTTCACTGAAAAGACAAACCAGGGCCCCCAATGACGACGCCCAGAATGACCAGCTAGACATCAACCACCACCTCCTCAACCTGGCCCTGGACAACAAGCTCTTCTTCGCCCCCCTGTCCAAGCCCACCCGCGTGCTCGACGTCGGCACCGGCACGGGCATGTGGGCCATCGACTTTGCCGATGAGTTCCCCGACTGCGAGGTCACGGGCATCGATCTGTCTCCCATCCAGCCGACCTGGGTGCCGCCCAACTGCAAGTTCGAGCTGGACGACGCCTCCCAGCCCTGGACTTTCCCGGACAACCACTTTGACTACATCCACTTCCGGTACATGATTGGGTGCTTCAAGGACTGGCCGGCCGTGTACCGGGAGGCGTACCGGTGTCTGAAGCCGGGCGGCTGGATCGAGCACTTGGACTGCACGGCGGATGTGCTGTCGGATGACGGGTCGCTGCCCAAGGACACGGTGTTTGTGGAGTGGAAGAAGGTGTTCAAGGAGGCGGGGGACAAGATGGGCCAGACGTTTGAGGTGGTGGACAATGACAACTATGTTGGGTGGCTGAAGGAGGCTGGGTTTAAGGATGTGAAGAATACGATTATCAAGACGCCGGTGGGGTCGTGGCCGGCGGATCCAAAGTGGAAGGAGGTTGGGCAGTTCAACCAGTATATGCTCGAAGGCGGGATTGAGGGGCTGGGGTTGTATATCATCACGAACGTGCTGGGGTGGAAATATGAGGAGATGCAGGTGTTTATTGCCAAGGTGAGGGCTGGGTTGAGGAACAAGAACTGGCATAGCTACTGCGTTTGGTAAGTTATCCCCCTTCGTCCCGCCGTTGGGCACAGCAGCTGACATGTCTGTCTGATCTACAGGGGTGCTGCTTGGGGCCAGAAGCCTTACGACGAGTGAAGGATATGCCTGAAGGGGGGTGTGTAATGCTGGCGATGAGGACGCGAGTTTTAGATCATTACGTGTCATTTATTAGAATGCCAACTTTGTTCGCGCCCACGAATCAAGAGGTCCATTCCCCGAACGCCCAACCAACCTCCAACAGCAGCACTGCAAACTCGTAACCCTTTCTGGCAGAACCCACCTGCAACCAAGTAGAATATTTGTCAGCCCTCACTCCTCAGCCCTCCATGTTCTAGATGCGGGGAAATATTGAAGCCACGAGAGGGGGGGGGGGGGAAGCAAGGTTGCGAAACATCACTATTGACGTCTTTTCTGATGGTGTGGAGACGATCCGAGGCTCGCTTTCCCTCTTTGACCGTCTTGTTGGTGCAAGGTCGCGCAAACCTGCTGCGGGGAAGCAACGTGGAACATTCAGAATGCAACCTCACGCATGCATGGAAGAGGCCCAACTGCATCGTCTGCAGGCATCGGTATTCTCTGAGGGTGGTTCCAGAAAGAAGAATAAGTAGCGCTGGGTGGTACCGCAGGTATTTCAGTTGAGCCTCTTCTCATCTTGCCTGCCTGCCACCTTCTAGACACTCACTTGGACTGCATCGTCAGTCTGCAACGGTAACATCATGGGCTCAGCTGCTGACTTCCCCAAGATTGACTTTACGGTACGCTCAACCCCCCCCCTCTCGTTGCTGACGAAAACTCGTCACTGACAGACAATATGATTGGCAGTCCAATTTTCAAAACATCATCAACAACGCTCTCTCGTCCACCCCCGAGACCCGTCAGGCTGTCGACCCAAGCACAGAGGAGCTTCTCTATCATGTTCCCCTGTCCAAGCAGGCTGATGTCGACAAGGCCGTCTCCGTTGCCAAAGCTGCCTTTCCCGCGTGGAAGGCGCTGTCCTATGACGACCGGGCGGGGTATCTCGGTCGGTATGCTGACGCGATTGAGGCTAACGTTTCCGGACTCCAAGAGCTTCTGATGAAGGAGGCTGGCAAGCCTGTTAGCAACGCCGCAGGGGAGCTGCAGTTTGCCATTGCCCATGTGAGGGAGACGGCCAAGCTGAGGATCGAGGATGACTTGATTGAGGATACTGAGGAGGTTGGTTTGGTTTGCATGCTGATTTGCCAAAGGGGTCGCTGACAGCTCACAACAGAGAAGAGCGACCGTCCGGTACCTTCCCATGGGAGTTGGCGTTGGCATCATCCCCTGGAACTACCCCGTCCTTTTGGGCCTGGGCAAGCTTGGTCCCGCCGTCCTCGCCGGCAACACCTTTATCTGGAAGCCATCGCCTTTCTCTCCCTACACGGCGCTCAAGCTGGGCGAGATTGCTGCGCAGATATTCCCACCGGGTGTTGTGCAAGTTCTGAGCGGTGATGAGAGCTTAGGACCACTCTTTACTGCTCACCCTGATGTAGCCAAAATCAGCTTCACGGGTTCGTCTGCGACGGGCAAGAAGGTCATGCAGGCTTGTGCCAGCACGCTCAAGAGGCTGACGTTGGAGCTGGGTGGGAATGACGCGTCGATTATTTATGATGATGTTGATGTGGCCCAGGTGGTTCAGAAGGTATGTTTTGCCTGATGCTCAAGACCAAGCAAGGTATCTGATGAAACTAACACAATAAAAGATCGGACCCATGGCATTCATGCACTCTGGTCAGATCTGCATGGACATCAAGCGCCTTTACGTGCACGAGAAGATCTACGACGAGTTCCTCGCTGCCTTTGTCCAGGTGGTCAAGTCGTTCAAGGTCGGAGGAGGAGGCGATCCCGAGGCGTTCCTGGGTCCGGTCCAAAATCGGATGCAGTTTGAAAAGGTCAAGGACCTGTACTCGGAGATTGGCAAGCAGAAGTGGCAAGTCGCCACCGGTGGTGAGCCTGTCGCCTGCGATGGCAAGAAGGGCTTCTTCCTGCCGCCTACCATCATCGACAACCCGCCAGATGACAGCCGCATCGTGGTGGAGGAGCCTTTTGGGCCCATTATGCCTGTTCTCAAATGGAGCGATGAGGATGAGGTGGTTAGGCGGGCGAACAACACCAACATGGGATTGGGGGCTTCGGTTTGGAGCAATGATATTGAAAAGGCCGAGAGGCTGGCTAGGAGGCTGGAGGCGGGGAGCACTTGGGTGAATAGTCATTTTGAGCTGTCGCCTTATGTTCCCTTTGGTGGGCACAAGTGGAGCGGTGTTGGAATGGATTGGGGCATTGTTGGGTTGAAGGGGTGGTGCAACACTCAGGCGAGCTGGGTGAGGAAGAAGTTTTGAGGGGGAGGGGGGGTGATGTATTCTGTCGAAGGCAACACTTAAGTTCGGTGCATGTATTTCTACATCATTATGTTGACGGATGAAATGAACTGCGGAGTTGAAGAGAAGTACCTAATCGGCGATTGTAATACCCAAGGCATGGCACCGACCCGGGCGTCAAACCCAACGTTGTGCTTATTCTGTGTTGATAAAAGAAAATGAGATAGGTATGTCGGTCTCATGTTTCGGTCATAGAGAATGAAACGCAAGTGTTGTTGCGCGGCGCAGACACCAGCCTGGCCGCGATCAAGACATAGGTAGGACGGTAGATAAGACGACGGCCAATGGCCATGGCCGGTCTGGCTGCTCGAAACCAGATTGGCCCGCGGGCTTGAATTATGTTCTTTTTTGGCCTGCCTTGCATGCTGTGTACCTAGGTACCTAGTGATCCAACGCTTGAAGTGTGGTTACCAAGGCGTCGTCGGTCAATGAAACCTCAAACGTACCAGACCTGCAAAGATTTCACACTCCCGAGATCCCCAAGTCTTATAAGAGAGTCCGAGTCGCCCGTGTATTCACCTTCATTCAATCGTTCATCCCCGCTCACAAACAAAACATTACCAACTTCGTCACTTCAAACTCGAGACTTTTGGTCCAATTCCACAAAATGAAGGTAAGTCTCACCGGATGATGTTCAATGCCTTTGAGGATTGTTCCTGACGCAAATTTGAATGTAGCTTATCACCATTCTCATCCTCTCCGCCACGGCGGTGCTTGCCGCCCCAGCACCTGCTCCTGCCCAGGTCGAAGCCCGAGCCTGCCCGGAGAACCCCGATGACTGCCTTTCGACATTCACATAACTGCTATTGGCCAGAGGAGATGCGCCTCAAAAGAAAAGTACTCGGGGAATACGGTGGATTTCATGAAGAACAGTCTTAAAGAGTTAATACATTCCTACCCTTGTGGTACTGTACTTGCTGTGCGAGTGAATGCGTGCCCATGATTGGGCCGCTTATAACTGAGAACCTTGTCGTGGGATATCTCATGTGCTTCCACAAAAGATGCCAAAATGATGTTTCCCCCATTGGATACCTTATGTAGGAAAGGCTTTTGCTAAGGTCATGGTCATCACTCCTCGCTCCTCGACACCGTGCCATTCACGGTGCAGAGACACATCCGGCTCCGGGGTCCACTTTTCCGGCACTTCCCCTCCCCGGGCCTTGAGAGCCGCTCCCGGCTAAATGCGGAGTGGGGCATCCAACACGGCTGTAGCAGCGGACTGAGAGCACCTGGAGTCTCCCCTCATGTTCAACCTCGACCATAAGAGGCATCCATCGGGCATTCCGGCGAGACGTCGTCAAGCTGCCCAAAGCAAACCAACCAACCAATTACTTCATTGTGATTCACCATGCCCCAAGTAAGAAACCCCATCCTCCCCGGGTTCAACCCCGACCCCTCCATCCTCCGGGTGGGCGATGACTACTACATTGCCACTTCCACCTTTGAGTGGTACCCAGGCGTTCAAATCCACCACTCCAAGGACCTCGCCAACTGGGAGCTCGTCACCCGCCCCCTAACCCGCAAGTCCCAGCTCGACATGCGAGGCGACCCGGACAGCTGCGGTATCTGGGCTCCCTGTCTCACCCACGATGGTGAAAAGTTCTGGCTGGTGTACACAGATGTCAAGCGCAAGGATGGGTCCTTCAAGGATACTCACAATTACATTGTTTCCGCCCCGGCTATCGAGGGCCCATGGTCGGATCCGGTCTACACCAACTCTTCTGGGTTTGATCCTTCACTCTTTCACGACCCGGACACCGGCAAGAAGTGGTTTGTGAACATGCTGTGGGATCACCGCCGTCGCCCTCTTCTTTTTGCCGGGATTGCGTTGCAGGAGTGGGATCCTGTTTCTGGCAAGCTCGTGGGCCCACGCAAAAACATCTATCGGGGTACCGAGCTCGCTCTGGTCGAGGGCCCTCATCTCTACAAGCGGAATGGATGGTATTATCTCCTGACCGCCGAAGGAGGCACCGGCTACGACCACGCAGTCACCTTTGCCCGTTCCAGGGACATTTGGGGGCCCTATGAAACCCACCCAGACAAGCACATTCTCTCCTCCAAGGACCATCCCCATGCCGCGCTGCAGCGTGCCGGACACGGTGATATTGTCGACACACCCGATGGCAAGACCTATCTCGTCCACCTTGCCGGCCGCCCGACCACCCAGAGGAGAAGGTGCGTTCTCGGCCGCGAGACCGCCATCCAGGAATGCTTCTGGAAAGACGACTGGCTCTTTGTCAAGGATGGCCCTGTCCCCTCCCTCCATGTCGAGCTCCCTGCCGCCCGGGATGAGGATCGGTACTGGGAGACGAAAAAGTACTCGTTCGATGCCGGCGAAGGACTGCACAAAGACTTCCAGTGGCTTCGCACCCCCGAGACGGAGAGAATCTTCAACCTGGACAGCAACAAGCTCAACCTGATTGGCAGGGAGAGCATCGGTTCCTGGTTCGAGCAAGCCCTCGTTGCGAGGAGGCAAGAGCACTTTTCCTACGACGCCGAGACAGTCATTGACTTTTCCCCCACCGACGAGAGAGAATTCGCCGGGCTGACGGCCTACTACTGCCGGTACAACTTTTTCTACCTCATCGTCAGCGCGCACAGTGACGGGCAGAGGGAGTTGCTGATCATGGCTTCCGAGGCGAGCTGGCCGGTGGGGAATCTGGTCTTGCCGCTGTCGAATCCTGACAGTGTGGTTATTCCCAACGAGGGCAAAGTCAGACTCAAGGTTACGGTGAGGGGGAAGGAGCTGCAGTTTTGGTACGCTCTTGAGGGTGAGCAGGAGCTCAAGAAGATCGGCCCGGTGTTTGACGCAAGTATTGTAAGTGATGAGTGTGGTGGGCATCAGGCTCATGGGAGTTTCACGGGGGCTTTTGTGGGGGTGGCTGCCTCGGATTTGAACGGGACGGGGAGGGTGGCCAGTTTTGAGGGGTTTGTGTACACGCCTGTGAAGCATGGTAGCGATCGGTATGAGGTTTAGGGTTACTTACCTAGGAACTTGCCATGAGATAAGATCAACACGAGAGCGGTTGTGCTCGCCCCCTTCCTGCCAAGCGTGACTATGCATAAACAAATTCCCCTAACAGCCAACATACCTCAGTCTTTGGCGCTTTAGCCCAGTGCAGGAAGAGCTTTTGTACACAGCTTCAGGTGCACTGGTCAAGGGGCAGGTACCAGGATACTTACCATGACCGGTTTTGGCAACGCACCATCCCACTGCTCATTGCCATGCAGCCGATTCGAGTTTTGTCAGAAAAGCATGTATCTCCAAGGCAAAAGTTCCAATAATCAGAACTTGGTAACCTAGTCAAAGAATGGTCAGAGACCTCATAAATAGGCTCTCCACCCAACACATCCGCCCCCTTTCTCCCCTCGTGCTCAGCTCATCATCTACCTCCCACACCTACTCAACCTTGACCTTGCCAAAATGCACCTCCTCACGATCCTCTCCCTGGTAACAGCAGCCTCAGCCACCCTATCCCGATGCGAAGGGTGTCGTCTCATGCCCACCGCCAAAAATGTGTTTGAATGCAGCCGGTGCGAAATGGCCAATGGCGCGCATGGCCCAGCTTGAACTTGGGACGCTGCTACATCAACGCGAACGGGAATTTGATCTTTCAGCACAAGTGCGTGCTCTCACAGACAGACTCTTCTGGGGTTAATGTTTGACATGATTTGTATAGCGGTGCATACCACCTATCCTGCCATGTGGGCAGTGCGAATGCTGCTTTTGACCTTCCCCGTGGCGATGCTTCGATGTGGCTTCCTTGTCCTAGGATTAATGGGCAGTTGCATACGCCGTTGGCTGATTTGTGTGAGTTGATTTGGTTGTCGTTGTTCAGGTCGTTGCTGACTGAGTGTGGTTTACCTAGTGCTGATGTGAAGGTGGATAATGGGTTTCTTTACTGCCAGGGGGGGTATCCAAGGTCGAAGTCCAGGCGTTGGTTGAACTAGGTTGGGATGTCTTTTGTCAGAGTTGGTGGAGAGAGAACCAAGTTGTGTTCAAGGGCCCCCTTGCTGGAAGATGGCGCAGCACAGTCGTTCCTTCACCATCGATCTAGACATAGCCGACCAAGCTGGCGTAAGAACATTTGGCATAATTTTAGTGGATATGAACGCGAGAGGTTAGAGCTTCAGAGGACTCGTTGCTTTCAACCGCTGTGACATTCTCTTGAGTCTAGAATTGTCGGGGATGCGTTGGTCGTCAACATAATGGGAAGTCGGCAGCATTTGGCTCGCGGCAAAGAACTTTGGATGTAATCTTTCGAACCATCTTTTACTCAGCTAACTACTCCATCTTATTGCCTCAAAGCCATACCTCCATCTCCACCATGCGTCCCCTCAACCTCACCATCTCCCTCCTCTCCCTAGGAACAGCAGCAACAGACACCTTACTCGAATCATGCCGTGACTGTCCCCTCAAGTCCAATGAAAAGAACATTCTCCAATGCGGCAGCTGCCAAATGCGAAATGACAAATGAAACCGCGGTTCAACGCTGAACCCCGGAAAATGCTACATCAATTCATGGGGATTACTCAAAGTCCAGAAGGAGTTCATATTTTCCCATCCACCCCCCCTTCCTTTCTCAAATTTCTTGTGCTAACAGAGACACCCTTATTTTTCTGATTGCAGCGGGGAATATCATCTCTCCTGTGATATTTCTAACCCCGGGTTCAAAATCACCGCCGCCGTCACCGCCGAAACGTGGCTTCCTTGCCCCGATGACAAGGGCGGTCTGATTGCTTCGAATGTTCTCCTGCTTCAGTCAACTAGCCTTATTGATATTCTCCTCAAAGTCATCGCTGACAGTGGCTAATCAACATGTTCATAATGTTATGGGCGTTCTCCATTGCAACAACTTGTAGGATGAGCGTGGCGGGAAATGGGGGCTTCGGTCCGATGTCAAAAAACTCAGTTGAATAAAGAGTCCATCGTTGAGATGGACCGATGGTATGTGTGGGCCGCTATAGTTGAAGGTATTGGAAGAGATATTGGTGCGCACACCAGATGGGCCCTGCTGATACATGTTTAGGTAGTTGAACAGCCTTATCATTGCAGTACATCGAGCTAAGCTTTTTTGGTTGATATATTTCATCAACCGACCATGACACATATTGCCCTCCCACAAATATCATCCCAGAAAAAGCTGCTGGCTAGCTAGATCATCGGGGCTGTTCCATCTCAATGGATCTGCAAAGGCAGCCGTCGTGTATCAAAGCCGCAGCCTAACCTCTGGCTGAAATCGTTCTTCCCAGGGTTTGATTAGCGTCTCCAACCTGGAGCCTTTGGTGCCCTGACCCTTCGAGAGTTAGTCCAGATCATATTTGGACTTCTGAACACAGATCATGCAGGCAGCGGTGCATAACTCGGCGTCTGAAGGTGGCGCACCCGGATTGCGTGAAGCCACGGGGCATAGACTCGGAGGTCGCACCATCCATCTCCCTTCGCAACAAAGTTGAGGCCTCTCTTCATCGACGCAGCCAAGGCCTTTGAAAGCGGAAGAAACTCTTTGTCGCCCAGTTTCAAGGCTGTCTCGACGCGACCATACCGCAGAAAGAGCTCCCGCCCAACCCCTTGGGCGACAACCTCGGCCAAGACGCGGGAACTTTCAAAAGAAGGTTTAACATCAGGTGGCCAGTTGTCCTGAAAGATTCGGCCTGGACGGTCCCGGCCGAGATTACAATACGCCACCGGAGGCTCTGCATTCGTCGTCGAGACGCGGTGCTTGAGGGTGGGATTCCCAGGGCGACAAAGCTTCTTTCCAACCGAACTGAGCACGGGTGGGGTCGAGCACAAGCTGTCTGGCCGAAGACAGGGTGAGACGTAGGACATTGTGACCAGGCATCCCGCTGAACTCGACGCGGTCTGGTGTCATGCGGCAGACGGGTATGTTGATATTTTTGGGTCTGAAATGAGCCTCTGTCAGGTCCATAAAATGCTCCCAATCTTCCTCGTAGAGCTTGACGACGCGGCTGATTTGTCTGTGCTTAGGCCAGGGTTGAGCTTGGCATGTCCGGTCGCAATAGAGTGTTCTGATGGTCTCGTGGCTGCAGTTGTCGCCGTTCTTGATGAGACATGGAGAGCACCGCATGGTAGCGCCCTGCTTGCCGCATGCTGCGCAGCTGTCTCCCAAGAGTCCCTCAGGCAGAAGGCTGTGATCGGTTTCCGGGCCTGTTACGGGGGGCTGGTTGGGCAAAGAATCTTCCTTCCGACAGCATGTGATCCAAAGGCAGAAGCGAAGGGCCTTGGCTTTGTTGCTCATATCGTCGGAAGAAGGGGGACATTTGAGCGCCAGGAGCGCTACCTGCTGGAGAATCCAGAGCGGCTTCGACTCATTCACCTCGCCGTTTCCAAGCGCCTCACTTCTGAGCGCCTCCCAATGCCCCATCAAGCTTCTAAAAAGGAATAACTGCGCCTCTCTGTCGGAACCTGCGTCTCTCTGTCGGAACCTGCGTCTCTCTGTCGGAACCTGCGTCTCTCTGTCGGAACCTGCGTCTCTCTGTCGGAACCTGCGTCTCTCTGTCGGAACCTGCGTCTCTCTGTCGGAACATGGTTTGTTTAGTATTTGCACGGCGTATCGCGAGCCGACGTACTGGATTTTCGACCAGAACTCTTTGTATCCTCACGTAGTCGTCATATGTGGGGAGGTTTTCAAAGAAGTTGTCGACTGGGTCGTCGGTGATGTCGAGTCGCTTGATCGCGTCAAGCAGAGTTTGGTCGCTGGAGATGTTGGATCGCGCAGGATGTCGTCAAGCAGATTTTGGCCGCCAGAGCTGACCATTTTTGCAGAAGCCGGGTAGATTGAAAGGCGGATAAGTCGAAGTGATGCTGAGAAGGAGAAAGACAGGCAGCATTGTAGAGGGTTCAACTGGCAACGGGGTCTGTCGAAAGAAGTTTGACGACGGGATTGAGGCAGGAAAAGAGTATCACGGAGTCGATGGGGTAAACAAGCAGAAAATTCTTCGAAGCCAGTCTCTGCAATCTGAAAGAGAGAGCGAAGGTACATACGGTGACCGTACCTTGATAAAAAATGAAAAAAACAACCCCTCTGAATGGCTGACAAGGTCATTTCACACAGTTGAGAACAGCAAAAAAAGCGTTTATTGAAGAGGCATATTTATCAGACCTGAATCTCCTCAGGGGTCTCGTTTGAATCTCGCTCTTTTGTGGAGGATCGACTGATGTCTCCTATCATCTCTTTGAAGCCCATCGACCACCCTGTAAGGCCTCTCACCAGTTTTGAAGTGACGGCTTCAACGAGGGTCAAATCTTTGTAAGTCTAGACTTTCTCTACAATCTACACCTTTTGCGAAGCAGAGCATGTCAACTGTCAACAGGCAACGGTCATGTTATCACCCTTCCTGCCTGGATCTCATGGTAATTTATGTCTGACACCTGACCTGACATAGACTTTGAACTGATGCTAGAAAGCTCTAGTTTATTTCACTTTTCACTTCTCAATATCGACCACTCAAGCTCCCGGCGCCTGTCGTTGGACACATGATCCGAACACGCTAACAGAGATGCATGGTATTTTACTCGGGGTCTGCTAAGGCTCGCTTGGGTCACACAGCGCAGCTTCCGCTTGCCCAAAACAATGACCGATGCAGCCCAGGTCCAATCACACAACACGCTTATAAACAACACCGCGCATTGCATCTCGAGTTGCGTCACGGAGCATAGAATTCGACTTTACATCCCTGGGTACGAGAACCACAGGCGAACAACATGACGAACTCCCTCATGCAGTACCATGACCAGCCACGCCCTCTCCCCTCACGGGGCGATTACTGCAACGAAAACCCCATCGACTCAAGTCTTGCTTTGCGGGGATGCCATGGCGGGAATTGTCGCATTGGCTTAATTAACCATGCCTGGCAAAGCGGCCCGGCTATGACATCGTCGCAGCAGCCACAGCCGCTTCGGAACCACGTCTCCTCTGCCCGCCCTCGAGTGCCGATCGTCCAATATATCGACCGTCTGCACCCCAGGTTGAGTCATTTATCCCACACTCTCGCGAGAAGGTTTTCCCACCTCCCATTTGCTCGCATGCTGACGTCCCCTCCCGCCGCGGACCTCGTTCCTGCTTTGGACCGCCGACGAGATCTGGTGATATATTGCATCTGTGGGGCCGCGGCCATCTGACGACGATTAAATGTCGCCTCGTTCCGACTGGGCGGGTCTGGGCATCACTCCTCGGAGCCGTGTCTCTACGCCAGAATGTCGTATAAGGACGAGGAACCGGCCGGGTGAGGTGCTGTGGTGGTCTGTCGTACGGCAGGTGCTGTGAGGGAATCCGGAGAACAACTTTGTTCCTCTTTGACCATTCTCCGACTGGAGGTGTGACATCGGACGAATCACATTTTCTCCCTCGAGTTCAAGAAGCTGAGACGTCCCGAGTGCTCTGCCGGTCTTTCAGCAATCAACATCTCGCCATGGCTCTTCAAACCTTCTTCCTGCTGGCGGCAGCCATGCTGGCCAACGCAGAGACAACAGGCGAAAAGGTCTCTCGGCAAGCACCGTCTGGCGCTCAAGCATGGGCCGCCGCCCACTCCCAGGCTGCCGCCACTCTGGCCAGAATGTCACAGCAAGACAAGATCAACATGGTCACGGGCATTGGCTGGGACAGAGGGCCTTGCGTGGGAAACACAGCTGCCATCAGCTCCATCAACTATCCTCAAATCTGTCTTCAGGATGGACCATTGGGCATTCGCTTCGGCACTGGTACCACCGCCTTCACACCTGGCGTCCAAGCTGCTTCGACATGGGACGTTGATCTGATCCGGCAGCGCGGTGCTTACCTGGGCGCCGAAGCCAAGGGCTGCGGCATTCACATCCTTTTGGGGCCCGTTGCCGGTGCCCTGGGCAAGATTCCCCACGGCGGTCGCAACTGGGAGGGATTTGGCGCCGACCCCTACCTTGCCGGTATTGCCATGAAGGAGACCATCGAGGGTATTCAGTCAGCAGGCGTCCAGGCCAACGCCAAGCACTACATTGCAAACGAACAAGAGCTCAACCGCGAGACCATGAGCAGCAATGTGGATGACCGCACTCAGCACGAGCTCTACCTCTGGCCCTTTGCCGACGCCGTGCACGCCAACGTCGCCAGCGTCATGTGCAGTTACAACAAGCTCAATGGCACGTGGGCTTGCGAGAATGACAAGGCTCTGAATCAGATCTTGAAGAAGGAGCTCGGATTCCAGGGCTACGTTCTCAGCGACTGGAATGCTCAGCACAGCACTGCTCTGTCTGCTAACAGTGGTCTGGACATGACTATGCCCGGTACCGATTTCAACGGCCGCAATGTCTACTGGGGCCCTCAACTGAACAACGCTGTCAACGCCGGCCAGGTTCAGAGATCCAGACTAGACGACATGTGCAAGAGAATCTTGGCTGGCTGGTACTTGCTCGGTCAGAACCAGGGCTATCCCGCCATCAACATCAGGGCCAACGTTCAGGGCAACCATAAGGAGAACGTACGTGCTGTTGCCAGAGACGGCATCGTCTTGCTGAAGAACGATGGAATTCTGCCGCTTTCCAAGCCGAGAAAGATTGCTGTCGTGGGCTCCCACTCCGTCAACAATCCCCAGGGAATCAACGCCTGTGTTGACAAGGGCTGCAATGTTGGCACCCTTGGCATGGGCTGGGGTTCAGGCAGCGTCAACTACCCCTATCTCGTGTCCCCGTACGATGCTCTCCGGACTCGTGCTCAGGCCGATGGCACACAAATCAGCCTCCACAACACTGACAGCACCAACGGTGTGTCAAACGTTGTGTCTGACGCTGATGCTGTTGTTGTTGTCATCACTGCCGATTCTGGTGAAGGGTACATCACTGTCGAGGGCCACGCTGGCGACCGCAGCCACCTTGACCCGTGGCACAATGGCAACCAACTTGTTCAGGCTGCCGCGGCTGCCAACAAGAACGTCATCGTTGTTGTGCACAGTGTTGGCCAGATCACCCTGGAGACTATCCTCAACACCAATGGAGTCCGCGCGATTGTGTGGGCTGGTCTTCCGGGCCAAGAGAATGGCAACGCTCTTGTTGATGTTCTCTACGGCTTGGTTTCGCCATCTGGAAAGCTTCCCTACACCATTGGCAAGAGGGAGTCGGACTATGGCACAGCCGTTGTTCGTGGGGATGATAACTTCAGGGAGGGCCTTTTTGTTGACTACCGTCACTTTGACAATGCCAGGATCGAGCCGCGCTATGAGTTTGGCTTTGGTCTTTGTAAGTTCCAGCGGCGGAGTTGGGTTTGATTTCAAGCTTTCCTAACCTGATAAAACAGCTTACACCAATTTCACCTTCTCCGACATCAAGATTACTTCCAATGTCAAGCCGGGGCCCGCTACTGGCCAGACCATTCCCGGCGGACCTGCCGACCTGTGGGAGGACGTTGCGACAGTCACTGCAACCATCACCAACTCGGGTGCTGTCGAGGGCGCTGAGGTTGCCCAGCTTTACATCGGCCTGCCGTCCTCGGCTCCTGCCTCTCCCCCGAAGCAGCTGCGTGGATTTTCCAAGCTGAAGCTGGCCCCGGGTGCCAGCGGCACTGCCACATTCAACCTCAGACGCAGAGATCTCAGCTATTGGGATACCCGCCTCCAGAACTGGGTCGTGCCCAGCGGCAACTTTGTCGTCAGCGTCGGCGCCAGCTCGAGAGATATCCGCTTGACGGGCACCATCACGGCGTAGGGAGGGTAGAGAACAGGAAGGCCCAAAAAGATGCCATGACTTTCAAAAGTGTTGGCAGAGTTGCAAATGTTTGGTAATGTACTTACGGCCATGCGATGGTGGATACCAAAAGAAGATTACATTGAACTATCATCAGCATGTGATGCCATGGAAAAGGCGTGTGGGGGCCGCTATCAATTCAAGCTTCCCCGTAGAGCTTGGGAAAATTTCTTGTCTTGTTTAGACTTTCGCGCCGCTCCCCCACCTTCTACTCTTGCTCCTGTCCATCGTCACTAGAGGAAGGGCAGCGGGGGTGTCGATGATGCAATCGCACAAGGGCCCGGCGCTAGGATGTTGGTCAACGTTGTGAAGTTGACTCTTGAATTAGACTGACACATTGCTATCACGACATATGTATGCATCACAAGTGGGTGCATGATCGGGGATTGTGACAAAAAGGGTAGGTGGTCTCGATTCGAAAGTGTCCAGCAGGAATGGAAACTGAGATATCTCTCGGCTTCTCGGCACAGTTGTTCTTACCCGGTTCTGTGCCTGTTCTAGCGCTTGTGCTACAGAGTCACATGGCGGGCTGGATGGTGGCTTGCAGGTAAGGGTGGTAGTCGTGCATACTGATATCGTCGATAGTCGAGATATATTTGTTGAACCGCCCTGGCAGCTGATAACCTCAGCAACCAAGATTATTGTTCAACGGACAGCTTCACGAAACCTTTGTCATCCAGTTATCATACCATTCGACTGCCGGAGCCAGAGATCCATGATAGCCATGGCGGAAATATCTAACCAGCATCACCGGATGGCATCGCGGGATTTAGCGACCGTTCACAACAATAGGTACAAACAATAAGGTCCGGTTGGCTACAGCAATGCAACCTTAATTCAAGCTGAGGCTAGCAGAGGTGCTTTTGTCGTGTTGTTGGTTGACCTTCCTATTACGGGAGGAGGTCTCACTACCGAGAGGATCGCCACCGAGATGCGAAGACTCAAATGCCGCCCACATATCTTGAGAGCTCCCAGATGTGGAAGTGCTTGTGGGGGATAGGGGGAATCGGATGGCGGGTGCAATTGGGGAAGGTAGCTGGATGGGAGGTGGCATCGCGTCGGTACCCTGCCTTGGCGATCCGATGAGCCTCCTACCTACCTTGGTGTGATCCGTGAACGTCGCGAGTGGATTGGCCAGGGCCTTTGATGATGCTTGGACATCTGCTTGCTTTCACGGCGGTTGGGGGGATACTATCGCTGGGATATCGCGCATGAGGGCTGACCCTCGCACCATGGTGAAGGTTGAATGGCTGACGAGTATAGAAAGGGTGTTGATCCCCGGGTCTTTTGGTGAGAGTTCCCGTTGATCTTCAGTCCCGACGTCAACAACACCGCCGGTACCCAAATCCCCGGATACCTCAGTCACGATGAAGACCTCCGCCACTCTCCTCATGGCCATGTCGGCCTTGGTCGCCGCCGAGCCCATGTCGGTGCTGCGCCAGAAGAAGCTCGACCTCTGGTCCGCCCAGAGCGAGGCCGGTGTCTTCGACATCAACCGCTACGCTGCCCAGGCCGCCACCTCTTGCGTCAACGGCAAGGCTGGCGAGTACCAGTGCAAGAACGTTGACCTGGTCTCGTTCTTGCGCCACCAGGACATGGGCTCCAGCACCCGCCGCGGTAACGACGTCTGGGGTATGCATTCCTCCCAAGACCGTCTTTCGTGAAAGACTGTGCTAACAACTTTCAGGATGGACCCACGCCGCCTCAGGCCGTGAGTTCGGCGCTGTTGGCCAGACTGACGGTACCGCTTTCGTCGAGATCAAGGCTGACGGCTCTCTCGTCTACCTTGGCCGTCTCCCCACCCAGACCACGTCGTCTTCGTGGCGTGACATGAAGGTCATCGGCAACCATGTCTACATTGGTGCCGAGTCCAGCAACCACGGTCTTCAGGTCTTTGACTTGACCAAGCTCCTCACCATCACCACCCCCCGCACCTTCAGCATCACCTCCGACCTCAAGGCCCGCTTCACCGGCTTCGGCAACAGCCACAACATCGTCGCCCACGAGGAGAAGAACATGATCTACGCTGTCGGCACCGGCACTGCCGCCGGCTGCCGCGGTGGTCTCTTCATGGTCAACGTGACCAACCCCGCCGCTCCCACCTCGGCCGGCTGCATGTCGGCTGGCGGCTACGTCCACGACGCCCAGTGCGTGGTCTACAAGGGTCCCGACACCCGCTACACCAACAAGGAGATCTGCTTCAACTTCAACGAGGACACCCTCGACATTGTTGACGTGACCAACAAGCGCAGCCCAGTCACGCTCTCCAGCACGGGGTACACCGGTTCCTCGTACACGCACCAGGGCTGGCTCGCCGACGCCGGCATGCGCTACCTCCTCCTCGATGACGAGCTGGATGAGCAGAACCGCAAAGGTCCTGCCGCCAACCAAAAGACCACCACCTACATTGTCGACATCTCCAGCCTGACTGCCCCCAAGTTCACCGGCACCTACCAGAGCCCCGCCACCGCCATCGACCACAACCAGTACGTCCACAACGGCCTCAGCTACCAGGCCAACTACGGCTCTGGTCTCCGCATCGTTGATGTCCGCAGCGTTACCACCGATCCTACTGGCAAGAGCTTCAAGGAGGTTGGCTTCTTTGACTGCTACCCCGAGGATGACTCTGTTGGTGGCCGCGCCGAGTTCACCGGTACCTGGTCTGTGTACCCTTACTTCAAGAGCGGCCACATCCTTCTCAACTCGATCGAGAGGGGTATCTTCGTGCTCAAGTACACCGGCGCTTGAACGACTGGGATGGAAATCAAGAGAGGAGGGTTGGGAGTAACGGGGAAATTTTGCTGTACATAGCTTCTGAGATGAATGAACATGCCTCTTGATCAAACTCGCGAGATCTGACATGTTGGGACGTGCAAACGGGGTGACAGCTGATTCAGGGGCTGAGACAGTGCGCAGGATCGGTTCCCATGACAAAGGAACACTGTGCCCATTATTATGTCATCGCCAACGTGACCAAACCCTCCTCGTCAGCAAAGTGGGCATGCATGTGTTCCCCCAGACCCGTCGGGTGCCCCCGCGTTTTCCAACACTTACTTGTAGCCAAGACCACCCCAGACATCATCGTGCAGCTTCCCCCTTCTCAGCATCGAAACTTTGATTTCTCTACCAAACAAAATGTCAGCTCAGGACTACTACAATTCGTATCAGGGCGGTGGTGGTGGCGGCGGTCAGCAGCAACAGCAGCAGCAACAGGGCTACGGTTATAGCAACTCTGGCCAGCAGACATACGACGGTCAGCAGCAGGGTCAGGGGTATTATCCCCCTCCTCCTCCTCCTCCTCCGCAGCAGCAGCAGCAGCAGCAGTATTACCCCCCGCCTGGGCAGCCACACCCGCAAGGGCAGTATGGACAGCAGCAGTATGGCCAACACCAGGGACAGCATGGTCAACACCAGCAACCCCCGCCCTACCACCAAAACCAAGACCCGGTAGCCCACCAAGAGCAGCAGCAGCAAGGAGGTAAAGATCGCGCCGGGCTTGGAAGTGCTCTGCTCGGCGCGGCAGCCGGCGCTTTGCTTGGGCACTCGGCCGGAGGGGGAGGCAGCGGAGGCGGATCACTGGCTACGGCCGCGGCCGGGGTTCTTGGAGGGGCGTTTGCGGGGAATAAGCTGGAGGGGGTGATTGGGGATAAGTAAGTTCTTGTTTTGGTTTTGTTTTTTTAGCGACCTGGGGAGGAGTTGCTGACTCGACTGAAATAGACTTGACAAGCCGAAGAAGGAGGAGAAGAAGGACAAGGACAAGGAGGACAAGAAGGACAAGAAAGACAAGAAGGACAAGCACAAGGAGGGGAAGAAGGAGAAGGATAATGAGGGGAAGAAGGAGAAGAAGGAGAAGAAGGAGAAGAAGCACAAGAAGGAGAAGAAGAGTAAGAAGGGGAGTGGGTCTGATTCGGACTCGTCGGATAGCTCTGATTCTGACTGAGGGGGTTGGGAATGGGGGTGTTGATGTCTTGTCCCTATTGAAAACCTAGCATGCGTTTCTTGCACAGTTATCGGAAGTATCATGTTGCCACAATCATCAGCTCCATGTTGCCGGTCTATGATGAAACAACAGTTATGAAGTCTGCGCCAAGAATCTCCAGAGGGAATGATCCAACTCGTAGCTACCTTGGGTGTAAATGCGATATGCAACTTTCCCAACCCTCCAGGCACAACCACGCTGCACATACTACCTAAGAGTTACCTTGAGATTTCAATTTCAACCCAAACCTCCACAACCAACCACCAAACCCAAGCACCCCTCCCCAATTTTCTCACAAAAATCGTCACAAAGCATGCAAGGCCAGCGGCAATAGACACAACCCTCCATTCACCGCCCCGCCTCCTAGCCCGTCACCTGCCACCCCACCGGCTCACGCTCCTCCTGCAGCCGCGGTGAGGGAGGTCTAGAAGCAGCGAGCCACCGAACGGGCGACCTTCCAGATCTCTGCAGCGCTCGGCATCACAGAACTCCATGGCCAAACCGAAATCGACAGCGTAAAGTATGTTCCCGTGCCTGCCGGTTCCCATCAGGAAATCACAAGAAATATTGCCAAGGGATCAGCGCCAGCTAACCGAAATAAATGCTGCCGTGACTGGCGATGCAAAATCACACGCGTCCGCGATTCCGAGAGACCAACAGATTTTGAACCGGCCCGCTGACCTTCTCTGGGGTGAACAATTGAGCCAAAACCAATGCTGCAGAGTCAATTATATACAAACCTGACAACGTCTGATTGGTTCTAACACCAATCACACAGAAAAGACTCCAAAAAATATTAGTGAAGGAGATTTAAAATCTCTTAGCTCGATGACTCTGCAAAAATGCTCGCCGAAGTTCGTCAAGCTTTGCACTAACACGTTCAAGAGATCTGTGGCACTTGAAGCCGAGATCCGGGCGTTTGGATGTGGCCAAATGGGGGTTTGAAATTGACTTATTAGGGTATAATTTTCTTGTTCAGACCGGTGTGACACTAGTCTTAAGCCAGAATCCCGGGCTTGTTTAGTCTTCTAGCCTTGGGCCGGGGCCGGCCGGATTCCGGTGTGGCCTCAAGCCGGGCTCCGGGCTCGCAAGTTGGTCAGTCCACAAATTGGTGAGAGCACAAAGTTACCAGTCAAGCTATTCTACATATGCCACGGATTACCGGTCAGGCCATGCTACATACAAAGCCGCTTACTGGTAATACACTTGGTCTTCAGGCGACAGTTACCAGTCACGCCGTTCCGTGTACGTCAGGGGTTACTAGTCACACAGTTCCGTGCCCAACAAGGGCTACCAGTCATCCCATTCAACAGCGAAGAAAGGGTACTGGTCACTGCTGCCCTTGTACATGGAAGCAAACAGGGCCATAGGACATCTGGCACTTCGTATGATCAAGAGTGAGCAAGCGAAGCGTTAGCGCAGGTGAAGAAGTTGCTGACTTGACTAGAGGTTGAGTACCGAACCTGTATCATAGTAATATTCATAGAAACATCTCTCTCTGTACTACAATAAAATTCAGGTTCAGCTTCCGCCTTTAGTGCCTTGAGGACGAAGAGAAGAAAGGTCTTTGCCTTGAGGAACGCAAGGCTTCTAGAGGACGCGCGAAGAAGGGGGAGCCCAAAAAACCCTACAGACCCGCAAACATTTGACCTTTTTTTGGTCACATGCACACGCGATATGTGCGTTTCGAGGGGCTCCTTTTGTGTCGTGTGTGTGCCGTGTAAGTCAGTCACAACGCCTGTTTTTCTCTTTCTGCCGCTCAGACCGCCCTACCGCAGACTTTGAACACTGGAAAGTATTTCATATATGTCGCACAACTGCTCTCTTTTTCTTTTTGTGTCTCAATTTTTTGGTGTCTCCCCAGTCCCAGGTTTCTGCGTCCGCAACGGTCGCTTCACTCAGCTGGTCCAGCCTTTTCTCTGCAGCTGTCATATTCTCGGGCACGATATTGCCGACGAAATCTCTCTCTCGCACCCTGGAAAGAAGCATGATGCCTTTCTTCTGCTAATCCCAGGTCCACAATCTATCTGCCTGCCGTTAATTATCCCAGAACCCTTTACCTCCGTACTCATTTCCAATAAGGACCTTAGACTCGCCCTTCCCCACAACCGTCTCTACCGAGTTGGTTGTCTGGTCGCTGATACGGATCTCACCATGTAGGGCTGCCGCAGTGACAACATTGCCGAGCTGGACCCTTGCACGTTTCTCTGTTCTGATATCCTTGGCGGAATTCCTTCCCACAATCGCGTCGATCTTCTGCGCAGCCGCATCAGACATAGCTGCGTCGATTCCCCCCGCCGCATCCTTGAGTATTGTTAGGCTCGCCTCGTCCTCCACCTCTTCAATCTCGTTCTCCGCTAACTTGTGACATACGGCCTCAATAGGGAAGGCCTTCTCCAGCTCATCGACAAAGCCAGCGACCTGGTCGACTATTTTCTCGAGGCTTTTTCCGTCGTACAATGCCCATGCCGTCTTTTTCGCTAGGCTCGTCTGTTTCTGTCTCCGAGAAACGAGATCTTTTAGCCGACGATGCAGCGCTCGTCCGATCGGCTTCATATCCTTATCCTCGAACACCACCAGATCCTGCTGGTCCGCAACGAGCTCGTATCGCTTCGACGTCTTCTGGGCGGACTCGAAGAGAAGCAAGATTTCCTCGACGATCGATTTCGCTAATTGCACCGACTTATCGATTGGCGCGCTGGAGTGGAAACGTGGGTCGTCGTTGATCTGGACCGCCTCGCCCCATCGGCTCAATCGGACTTTCGCAATGTCCAGTCGGAGCTGGCATCTCTCGTAATCGCGCCCAAAATGGCGACCCAGCTGGACGTACTCAAAACAGGCAACGCAGTTATTGAAGAGGCCGGCAACGCCCAAGGCGCCAGCAACGATCTCGAACGGTTCTGACATGGCAGTTTGACGGGAAAGCGAAGGTTGATGTTCCTGTGCGGCTGAACGTGCCCGCTTGCTGCTAAAGGCGGGGTACACACCATCAGGCCGCCGTCCACATTGCCCAACCTCCTCGTTGCCCAACCCGAAAGTTGCGCAGTTGGCAATGAACACTTTATTGCGCTGCTACTAATCAGCTCCGGTCACTCAATATTGAGACATAAGAGCACTTTCATCTAGGCAATATCTATTACGAGTCTGCACAAGCGACTTCCTCTTGCTGCGAACGCCGACGCAACCTTTGTTCTCGATCATAACGCACGAAGATGGTAGACAATCTTCGCGGCAATCGCAAGCTGGAGGCACCCTGAATCGATGCTTCAAGCAATCCAACCGCTTCGTCACTGCCACGATGGCAAATCAGGTTCGGTCAATACATGCTGAAGGGCAAGCACGCGTGCATGTCGGCAATAGTTATTACGGCTCGAGCGACTTCCTCCCGACCGCAGACGATGCAGCCTTCGACTCCCACGCGGAAGAGCATAACGCCCGATGCCACCGCGACACCCGAACCGAGCTCCTCCGTCAGATCAGAGAGTGGGCAGACGATCCTCACGGCAAGACTATCTTTTGGCTGAACGGCATGGCAGGGACAGGGAAATCCACCATTTCTCGAACCGTGGCAAAGTCGTTCGCGGACGACGGCATCCTCGGCGCGAGTTTCTTCTTCAAAAGGGGGGAAGGCGACCGTGGCAAAGCAACCTTGTTTTTCCCTACAATTGCCAGCCAGCTTGTGCGCAAAATCCCTGCCCTGGAGGCTTTTGTCAGAGAGGCTATCAATAACAACCCGGATGTTGCCAGGAAGGCACTGAGAGACCAATTCGAAAAGCTTATCCTGCAGCCTCTGGATCGCATTCACCACGCTATAGCTGTGATCGTCGTTGACGCTCTCGATGAGTGTGACGGTGACAACGACGTGAAGGTCATCATCTCCTTACTATCACAAGCAAAGGAACTCCGCTCCCCAGGTTTGAGAATCTTCATTACCAGCCGACCTGAGCTGCCCATTCGCCTCGGCTTCAAGAACGTTACGGGAGAGTATCAGGACCTAGCACTGCATCAAATCCCGGAACCAATCGTCGAACACGATATATCTGCATTCTTGCGACACGAACTCGCGAGAATCAGGGACGACTACAACCACCAAGCTCTCGAAGGCATAGAGCTGCTGCCAGATTGGCCCGGTGAACATGCTATTCAAACTCTCGCTCAGATGGCCGTCCCATTGTTTATTTTCGCTGCAACCGTATGCCGCTTCATTGAAGATCCGGCGTGGTCAGATCCCGCCGATCAGCTGGAGAAAGTCTTGCAGTATCAGATGAAGGCCTACGATTCCGAGCTCGGCAAGCTCGACGCGACATATTTCCCAGTTCTCAAGCAGATCATTATCGGACATACTAATCCGCAGAAGCTATTAGCTGCCTTCCGAGATGTGGTTGGCCCCATTGTCCTCCTCGTTCAGCCCCTCTCGGTGTTGTCGCTTGCAAAACTTCTCAACTTCTCCACTAAATCCATATATGGCAGGCTCAACTCTCTCCACTCCGTCCTAAGCATTCCCTCGAGGATAGATTCTCCTGTCAGACTCTTTCATTTGTCCTTCCGTGACTTCCTCGTCGATCCAACCAAGCGTGCTGCTGAGTTTTGGATCGACGAGACAAAATATCACAAGACACTTGCGGACAGATGTATTCAACTGTTGCACCAACACCTCATGAGAGATATCTGCGGTCTACAAGTGCCGGGAAAGCTGCGGTCAGAGATCGATCAGCGAACTATTGACGCCGCTCTGCCGCCCGAGACCCAGTACGCCTGTCAGTACTGGGTCCACCATTTGAAGGAGGGTAGAAGCACCGTACAGGATGGCGGCCCAGTCCACAGCTTCCTGACGAGCCATCTACTTCACTGGCTTGAAGCGCTCAGCCTCTTGGGCCGTATCTCGGAGAGTATCAGCATAGTAGACGACTTATTAACCTTTCTACATGTATGTTACGCGCCTTTAGTAACCTCGACCACACTAACATTGCCACATAGCCCACAAGTGCTACTGAGGTATATGCATTCCTCTGTGATCTGAAACGGTTTATTTTAAACAGTCAATCGATTATCGACATAGCGCCTCTTCAGATATACGCTTCAGCACTTGTGTTCAGCCCGGCCCGCAGTATAACAAGAGGCATATTTAAGCAAGAAGAACGGAAGTGGATTACTAGCGGGCCAATTGTACAAGATAGTTGGAATGCGTGCCGGCAGACGCTAGAGGGGCATAGCGATTCGGTCAGGTCGGTCGTCTTTTCGCCGGATTCGAAGTGGATTGCCTCAGGGTCAGACGATCGTACCATTAAGATCTGGAATCTCGAAACTGGATCATGCCAGCAGACGCTAGAGGGGCATAGCAGTTCGGTCGGGTCGGTCGTATTTTCGCCGGATTCGAAGTGGATTGCCTCAGGGTCAGGCGATTGTACCATTAAGATCTGGAATCTCGAAACTGGATCATGCCAGCAGACGCTAGAGGGGCATAGCGGTTGGGTCTGGTCGGTCGTGTTTTCGCCGGATTCGAAGTGGATTGCCTCAGGGTCAGGCGATCGTACCATTAAGATCTGGAATCTCGAAACTGGATCATGCCAGCAGACGCTAGAGGGGCATAGCGATTCGGTCAGGTCGGTCGTGTTTTCGCCGGATTCGAAGTGGATTGCCTCAGGGTCAGACGATCGTACCATTAAGATCTGGAATCTCGAAACTGGATCATGCCAGCAGACGCTAGAGGGGCATAGCGATTCGGTCTGGTCGGTCGTGTTTTCGCCGGATTCGAAGTGGATTGCCTCAGGGTCAGACGATCATACCATTAAGATCTGGAATCTCGAAACTGGATCATGCCAGCAGACGCTAGAGGGGCATAGCGATTCGGTCTGGTCGGTCGTGTTTTCGCCGGATTCGAAGTGGATTGCCTCAGGGTCAGACGATCGTACCATTAAGATCTGGAATCTCGAAACTGGATCATGCCAGCAGACGCTAGAGGGGCATAGCGATTCGGTCAGGTCGGTCGTGTTTTCGCCGGATTCGAAGTGGATTGCCTCAGGGTCAGGCGATCGTACCATTAAGATCTGGAATCTCGAAACTGGATCATGCCAGCAGACGCTAGAGGGGCATAGCGATTCGGTCAGGTCGGTCGTGTTTTCGCCGGATTCGAAGTGGATTGCCTCAGGGTCAGACGATCGTACCATTAAGATCTGGAATCTCGAAACTGGATCATGCCAGCAGACGCTAGAGGGGCATAGCGATTCGGTCTGGTCGGTCGTGT